ATCTATTGAAAAAAATCCGCATTATTAACCAGTACACCTGGTAGTTACTATGTACTTACCTACTGTGCTCCAGGCGCTGTTTTAGGTACTGAGGATACAGCAGTGAATAACAACAACAAATGCTACTACAGCCCCAGTGGAGTTTACGTCCCAGTAGGGAAGAGGGACAATAAACTGGATGAGTAAATAAATTAGAAAGGTAAACAGATGGCTGTGAGTGTTAAGGATCAAAGATCTAAAGGAGATAAAGGAAAGAGTTGTGAGGCTTTGCACAAGAGCAGCATGTGCAAAGGCCCTGAGGCAGCGGTGTGCTGGAATGGTAAAAGAGTGTGACTGGAAAGGAATAAGCTAGAGAGGCCAGGGAGATAATGAGACGTCCCATAGGTTAAAGCTTTATGAGCCACATGGAGAACTTCGGTTTGTAGCTTGAGTGAAAGGGAAAGTCAACGGAAGGTTTTGAGTAAGAGAGTGACATGGTCTGACATAGTTTTAAAGGATCCCTCTGGCTGCTGTGTGGAGAAGAGGCTGTAGCAGGGGCAAGGTTGGAAGCAGGTGGACCAGTTAGAGGAGGAATGCAAAATCCAGGAAGCACAAGATGATGCCATCTTGGACCAGGAAATGAGCAGTGATGAAGATGAGACATGGCTGGACACAAAGTCCTGTTATTCTATTATTATGTTGTTAATCCTCACCCAGGGATATTTTTCCAAGTCCATTGATTTTTAGAAAGAGTGGAAGAGAAAGGGAAAGACAGAGAGAAACAGTGATGTGAGAGAAAAACATTGACTGGTTGCCTCCTGCACGAGTCCTGAGCCCCGACCAGGGCCTGGTCCAGGGAGGATCCTGCAACCAAGGTATGTTCCCTTGACTGGAATTGAACTGGGGACCCTTGAGTCCGCAGGCTGACGCTTTATCCATTGAGCCAAACCAGCTAGGGCCTGTTTACTCTCTTAAGTGGGGCAAGAGAAAATGCTCTCTCATTATTTTCTCATTCATATATAGAGAAATAAGACATTATTAAAATAATTTTACTTAACAAAGGACACAGAGGACTTTTGAGGCATCCAGACCACTGGCTCTGTCTTGGATGCACAGATTCTGTGTACCCCAGGACTTCCCAGTCTAGGATCTCATTTGTGATTCGCCTGTGAGATTATATGTTTGAGTCATTTTCATGATCCTGTATAAAACAATCTATATCTATAAAACACTAATATGCAAATAGACCGAACAGCCGAACAACCGGTCACCATGACGTGCGCTGACCACCAGGGGGCGCACATGGAACATGGCGGGCATCAGCCACAGAGGGATGGTGGAGCAGGTGAGTGGGGGTGCCTGTCATCGGGGCCAGCCTCTGGTGGTTACTGAAAATTCTTTGCTCCCACACACCAGGTCCAGCTGGCTTCTTGCACCTGCTGCCGGCACCAGAGCCACTGCTCGCACCCACTGCAGCGCCTGGTGCCAGCCCCGATCGCTTGGCACCATCAGTGGGTGCGAGCGGCAGCTGCCAGCCCTGATTGCCCCTCGGGGCTTCTCCCCCTCCCCCTGCTCCTGAGGGACAATTGGGGCCAGCAGCCGCCTCTTGCACCCGCTGGTGGTGCTGGCCCCAATCACTCTGCGCCATCAGCAGGTGCAAGCAGGGCCGGCACCCTCCTCTCTAAACACTTGGCCTATCTGAACCCTGAGGAGAGAGTTGCGAAGGTAGAGCCGGGGCATGAGAGATCACGAGGCTCTTGAAGGCCATGCCAGCAAGCGGGGACTGGGTTTTGTGTACGCAAAGGGGCATCCTGAGAGGGTTTGAGGCCTAAGAGAGACGTGCTCAGGTTCTCAAGGTTAACTTGGTGGTTCGTGGGAGAGAGAGCCTTCCTGGGGGAGCCAGCGGAGGAAAGGAAGAGCTGCAGTGGCAGTGAGGGTTCTGCTGAGAACTAAGGGGCTTCCAACGAAAAGCATAGACTCGGGGGACAGTGCAGGGCGCTGGGCCCTGGGAGAGCTGACAGTCTGAGATATGAAGTCAGCCAGTCCCGTGTGTGTGTGCGTGTGTGTGTGTGTGTGTGTGTGCGTGCGTGCGTGTGTGTGTGCGTGTGTGCGTGTGTGTGTGCGTGTGTGTGTGTGTGTGTGTGTGTGCGTGCGTGCGTGTGTGTGCGTGTGTGTGTGTGTGTGCGCGCGCGCCCGTGGGGGCACATCCTGCCTCAGGACACCCCCGCGTGGTCCCTGCCGCCTGAGGTCTCTGCAGTCCGCCTCTTCAGGGGAACTACCTGCCCCCCGGGCACCCAGCCTCTGCCTGCTTCCCAGAATCCTCAGGGCTTGCTTACTTGTACTTTGTAGCTTCCTCAGCTTTATGGTCCTCAACAAGAAGGAGAAAGAGTATTCTTTTTTTTTTTCTTAAACAGAACATGATAAATATGTGAAGGAGTATCTTGCTGCTGAAACACACACAGGAACTTGTAATGCCTTTCATCCCAGGTGTTGCTACTGACACGCTTACAGTTTCTGTAAGCTTAAACCCTAATTCAAACACCCAAAATTGTTTTTAGAATAAATATTTTTATTGATTTTGAGAGAGGGAGGGAGAGGGAGGAGAAACATCCATCGGCTGCTCCTGCACGCCCCCTACTGGGGAACCGAGCCCACAGCCCAGGCACGTGGCCTGACTGAGAAGCCACAGGGGCCAGGGCGCATCCACGGGTTGAAGGCAGCCTAAGTCCCTGGTCGGCGAACTGCGGCTCGCGAGCCACATGCGGCTCTTTGGCCCCTTGAGTGTGGCTCTTCCTAAGCCTTAGGAGTGCCCTAATTAAGTTAATAGCAATGTACCTACCTATATAGTTTAAGTTTAAAAAATTTGGCTCTCAAAAGAAATTTCAATCGTTGCCCTGTTGATATTTGGCTCTGTTGTCTAATGAGTTTGCCGACCACTGGCCTAAGTAGTGGTTCTCAACCTTCCTTATGCCGCGACCCTTTCATACAGCTCCTCATGTTGTGGTGACCCCCAACCATAAGATTATTTTCGTTGCTACTTCATAACTGTCATTTTGCTACTGTTATGAATCGTCATGTAAATATCTGATATGCAGGATGTGTTTTCATTGTTTGCGACCCACAGGTTGAGAACCGCTGGAAAGGAAAACCTTCACGCTGGAGAGAGCTGATTGGACTGTTAATTCCCGGTTGATGTTCTCTGCTGAGATAATGACAGTTTTTCCAAACAGGTGAAACCTGTATGGTTAACTAGCACTAACAACATCTTGTATGACGATTGCAGGGCCCCAAGCTGTTAACAATGGTAACTTTTGAGCTTTAGAAGCAGGAGGTGGATGTTAAGAGAGAGTCTTTATCCTTTACACACTTCTGTAACTTTTGAATTTTAAAATGCATAGTGTTGTAATTTCAGAACAAAACAAAAGAATTCGGTTCAATGTAAATTGGAACTGCCATACAGAGCATCAAGAAGCCAGTCTGAATGATCAGATTTTAACTGAATTTGAAAAAGGCTCTCTGACCTCACCTAATCCCCAGGAGCCAGCGTGCCCCCTGGTAGCTGTGGGCAGGGGAGGATGAGTGACCGGCGTGCACAGTCTTCCCCAGGGCCGGACACTGGCAGCGGCCTAGCGGGGGGCAGGCCCTCCTCACCACACAGGGGAGTCTCAGTGTCCTGCCCACTTTCCCATAAACAGATACAGCGCTTCTATTCCGTTATGCTTTTAACATCTTTATCCTTTCAAAACTTCCCATTATACATCCTCGTTGTCAAATGTATTTTTTTCAGGCAATACAGAAAGTATAAACCTTATTCTGTTTGGAGTTTGGTTGTGTGTCCTTTCGGGTTTGCTTTACACTCACACACAAACACACATAATTTCAGCTTCTTCCTTTTTTGAAGTATAATTTACATATCATAAAATTACCGTTTTTAAGTGTATAATCCAGTGGTTTTTAATACATTCATAACGTTGTGCAACAAGCACCACCATCTAATTCCAGAACATTTCATCACCCCCAGAAAAAACCCTACACCCACCACAGCCACTCCTCATCCCTACTCCCCCGTCCTCTCAGCCACGAATCTACTTTCTGCCTCTCTAGATTTGCCTATGCTGGACATTCCACTTAAATAGAACCGTGCAGCACGTGACCTTTTGCGCCTGACTTCTTTAACTTATTATAACACGTACACAGTCCATCCGTGTTGTAGCAGATGCACCAGCACTTCATTGCTTTTTACGGCCAAGTAATATTCCACGGGGTGGCTACAAACCACGTTTTGTTCACCCATTCATCATGTGATGGACACTGCATTGCTCCCAGTTTTCCTAAAGTGAATAATGCTGCTATGAAAATTCATGTATGTTTTCAATTCCTTTGGGTCTATACCTAGGAATCGCTAGGTCAGATGGTAACTCTATGGTTGCCATTCCTCTGTTTGCCGCCATTTTACATCCCCTCTGGCAAAGCACAAGGGTTCCGATTCTCCAGCTTCTCACCCACACTTACTTTCTTTTTCATTCTAGCCCTCCTGGTGAGGGTGAAGTCGTATCTTATTTTGGTTTTGATTTCAATTTTTTCTAGTGACTAAATGATGTTGAGCATCTTGGTGGCCATGTGTATACCCAAATGTCTACTCAAATTCTTTGCCCATTTAAAATAATGGCCTGTCTTTTTATTGTTGAGTTGCGGAAGTTCTTTATCTAGTCTTGACTTAAGTCCCATCGCGGGTATAATGTGTGAATATTTTCTCCCATTCTGTGGGCGCTGTGTTTGATTTTTTAGAGTAAAAATGAATTTCTAAATGCACTGCTCTGTAACGCGCTCTTTTTACTTCACAGTGTGTCATGGGCATCTGTCCATGGTAAGAGGACGCCGCCCCATTGTGGCGGTGCCTCAGTGTATTGGACGGTCCTCTGCTGAGCTTTAAAGCGGCTCAGGTCCACGAGTCAGTGAGAGACGAAGATGCGGCGGCTCGTGGTGCCGTTTGCTCCTGGATGATGTGAAAATGCAAGCAGCACAGGAAGTCTCTAACCTGCTGACACTTCCTCTCCGAGACTCCGCGGTTTCACAACCCCTTCAACCCCTCCTTCACCACCACCCAGTGGTATCAGCTGGCGCCTCTGTGAGAAAAGTTCCACTTCAAGACGCCCCAAAGCATTATCATTTCCTTCTCTCGCCCCATCTCGGTTGCCAGCAATCCCCAGGGTCCTCTGAGACCCGCCTGCTTCAAAGATGAACTGGTTCATCGCTGTAGCGAGGCTGCTGCTGCCTGGGCCTTTTCTCCTGGGTAAGCAAGAGAGGGGAGGCGGGGAGGGACATGTGGCTGTGGCCAGGGAACCGCAGGCCTTACAGAACCGCAAGGCCAAGGAGGAGCAGCTCTCGGGGTGGCACCGGCCATAGGTGATGGGGCCCAGGGATCTAGAGGAGAGGGAGCCGAAGGAAGTCAGAGTCCACAGCATAGGCCAGGTGTGGAGGAAAGACAGGGGAGGGGGCCAAGGATGGCAACAGTGAGAGGTGAGGGAGCGGGCCCCTCCCCAGGCAGGTGGAAACGGGTGCACAGAGCTGTGCGGGGTCTGCTCCACCCGCTGCTCCTCATGTGGCATCTCAGGCAAGTCCTGCCCCCTTTCTGGGCCTCAGTCCCTTCACCTGAACATGCTGGGGCCTCGCCTCTGACAGCCGGGATGCTGTGAAATAAGCCTGGTGCCTGGAAGGCCAGCAGGGCCCGAGCAAAGCTTGGGACTTGCAGCCCAGGCTGCCTGAGGTCGGGAATCTGAGATCTGAGGCCAAGGAAGAGACTGGTCCCTGGCCTGTGGGGAGTGTGGGAGCATAAGAGCAGGGAAGGGGGAGAAGGAGGAGGAGGAGGAGGAGGAGGAGGAGGAGGAGGAGGAGGAGGAGGAGGAGGAGGAGGGAGGAGGAGGAGGAGGAGGAGGAGGAGGGAGCTTCGCGGGGATCTTGAAACCCTGAGGCTGTGTGTGGGAGGAAGGCTGAGGATAACAATTTGAGTTCTCTGGCGCAAGGAGAAATGAGTGTGTGGGAGATACACCCTGCCTGGGGCATCCCCAGCTCCTCCTGGGCCCCTTCCGTCTGCTCCTCTCCCACGGGCCTCTGCCTTCTCATCCTTCCTTCTTTGCTGAGAGGCCAGCGGGCAGGCGTGTCCTTCCCAGGCCCTGGGACTGCCAGGCTCCGGGGAGCAGGGGGTCGCGGCCCCACATCTCCCTGAGCCGAGGCCCTCGGGGGAGGCCAGGGAGGCTGGTTCCAGCCCTCGCTCTGCCTGGTCCGGAGGCCGCCGGCCCTTCGGGGTCTACCCATCCCCTGGGGCACGTGGGCGGCAGCCAGTCCGCGTGTGGGGATCGGGGTGGGTTGGGGGTGGGGTGGGGGTCCCTGGCCGGAAGTGGCTGACGGCCCCCTTGTCTCCCTCAGCCCCGGCCTCCGCCTACAACCTGGACGTGCGGCACGTGCAAAACTTGTCCTTCCCACTCGCCGGGAGGCACTTTGGGTACCGCGTCCTGCAGGTTGGAAACGGGTGAGCGGATGCCCCAGGTGCCCCTGCCCCGCAGAGCCCGGGACGGGGCACCCATGTCAGCCCGGGGCTGGCCAGTGAGAGCCGCAGGGTCAAGGAGAGCGTGGGGGGATTTCTCAGAAACAGGAGCAGGATGAGGCCCATGCACCGCCCAAGCGCCACATGGGAACCCGAGAGGGAACGTCCCAGCCCCCAAACACCTGGCCACGCTGCGCTCCTGCCCGCCCAGCACAGCGCGGCTAAGCCTAGGTCTCTGATGCCTGATTGAATGAACTTATAATGGAACATTCTGGCATATTCTCTGGTCCTCAGTCTTTCTAGAGCAGTGGTCGCGGCTCTTTGGCCCCTTGAGTGTGGCTCTTCCACAAAATACCACGTGCGGGCGCACATGTGCAGTGCGATTGAAACTTCGTGGCCGGTGCGCAGAAGTCGGTTTTCGGAAAGGAGATAGAGAAACGAGTGTACAGGACGAGTGTGGATGGGCGAGTTGGAAGGGGTCGACCTCAGTGAACGTACCTCAATCAGATTGAGGACGTTTTTAGCAAAGGCCAGTTTAGGTGTACCCTAATTAAGTTAATAACAATGTACCTACCTATATAGTTTAAGTTTAAAAAAATGTGGCTCTCAAAAGAAACTTCAATCGTTGTACTGTTGATATTTGTCTCTGTTGACTAATGAGTTTGCCGACCACTGTTCTAGGCTGATGGAAATAATTCCTAACTTTCTAGAGTTCTGGCATGTTGGGTGACTTCTCTGAGATTCAATAAGGAAGCAATAGGTGGGGCCCGAGGGAGAAGGCTGCATTGCTTTGAGGTGCCTGGCCGGGGATAGGATACCCCTTATGAGGTAGAAGTGGGGAGGTAAAGACCTGGGTAACTCCATCTCACAGGTGAGATTTCTCATCAGGGTTGTTGTGGGAGCGCCGGGTGAGGGGAGCAGCCCAGGAAACCTCTACCAGTGCCAGCCAGACACTGGCCACTGCCTGCCAGTGGGCCTGAGCGGTGAGTAGCTGGTGAGGGAGCTGGGAGGCGGTGCCTCGGGGAAGTCGGGGCTGGCCCCCTCTACTCCTGGATTGCCCGAATTCCTCCAGACCAATCTTATGGTGCCCACAGGTTCCAACTACACCTCTCAGTACTTGGGAATGACCTTGGCGACAGACCCCACAAATGGAAACATGCTGGTAAGAATTTTGTGTAGTGTGGTGTCAGAGCCCGTGAAGCTCAATGCTAGGAAACTGATTGAAAAGAAGAAAGAAAAAAATGGATTAAAGATCATAATGAAGGCCCTGGCTGGTGAGGCTCAGTCGGTTGGAGTGTCATCCTCTGCACCAAAGAGTCTTGGGTTCGAATCCCGCTCAGCGCACATTTCCACATTGTAGGTTCAATCCCTGGTCAGGGCACGTAAAGGGGCAGCTGATCAATGTTTCTCACACCAACATTTCTCTCCCTCTCTCTCTCTCTCTCTCTCTCTCTCTCAGAAATCAATAAAGAAACATATCCTTGGGTGAGGATTTTTTTTAAAAAAAGATCCTATAGAAGGTTAAAGGCATCAGAGTGATCTGGAGTCAGTGTTTACTGAGGATAAACTATGAGCCAGCTATTTTCAAGACCTTACTTACCTAAGTTTTTTCCAAATATTAACTATCTATAACGATTGACATACAAGATGATTTTTGGTGGCACACAAACTTAATGTTTGAATAGTTACATATTTATTTAATGAACTAGTAGAAAAATTTACAACAAGCATTTCAAATTCATGATTTCTTAGATTGCATTGGTTAGGATGAGGCTAAAGTATTTTTTTAAAAGTAAATTTAAAGTAAATAAAATATTAAGGAAATAATGGTATGACTGATGCACCATATGGCAGAAATTGCAAAGTGCTACACAAATGCCTTAAGTTTGAAAAACACTTCTTTATCTCCTTTAACCCTCTTCACATTTTTTACACATGAGGAAACAGGACCAAAGGGGAGAGACTTGGCCAGGGTCACATGGTTTTAAAGAGATAGAGCAGGGATTTGAATCAAATTCCCATTTGATTCCAAGTCCATTGCTCTTTACAATTCATTTCAGCAGCATCCAACAGCTACGTGAGAAATAGAAGACTGATTGAAATATCGATCCCGTACTTAATTGGAGCTTGTTTACTTAGCTACTATTACATTCTAGTGTGCTAGATTATGATGGGGGAAGGAAGGGGAGTGAGATTCAAAGATGACCATGACATGAGCCCAGACTTTCAAAAACTTGTAGTCTGGCAGGAATCTATGATAATAAAAGTGTAATATGCTAATTAGACTGGACATCCAAACAACCTTCCAGATGTCCTTCCGGACGACCTTCTGAATGAAGCTGGGGGCTGTGAGGGCCAAGGCAAGCCGCTGCGGCTGCGAGGGCTAAGCCCTTCGAACGAATTTCATGCATCGGGCCTCTAGTTGTAGTCATAAATGAAAGGAACACTGTGTGTATTCTGGGAATAGTGAGTAATTTTGGCTTAAACACAGAATGTGTGATTGGGAATGGAAGGGGATGGGTCTGGAAAAGTAGGCTAGTGCCCACCTGTAAACAATATGAATGTGAAACTAAGGCTTTTAAAACATATTTTATTGATTTTTTACAGAGAGGAAGGGAGAGGGATAGAGAGTCAGAAACATCGATGAGAGAGAAACATCGACCAGCCACCTCTTGCACACCCCCCACTGGGGATATGCCCGCAACCAAGGCACATGCCCCTGACCGGAACCGAACCCGGGACCCTTCAGTCCGCAGGCCGACGCTCTATCTACTGAGCCAAACTGGTCAGGGCCAAAACTAAGGCTTTTAGATCCTATCCTCCAGGACCCAGAGTAGGCAGTGAGCATTGATTGGCATAGAGCATTGGCAGTGAGGATGGAGATACTGGAATAAGAAACCTGGAGGCAGAATTACCTTGGCTTGGTAACCAGTTGGATACAGGGCGTGAGGTCAGGGGGTGAAGACTCTGAGGGTTTTGTTCTTGGCTGATGATATCTGCATGCACCGCAAGTGGAAGCTGAGACCCTTTTACCGTTGCTCCCTCAGGCCTGCGACCCCGGGCTGTCTCGGACATGTGACCAGAATATCTACCTAAGTGGCCAGTGTTACCTCTTCCCCCAGAACCTGAAGGGTCCTGTGCTGCAAGGGCGCCCTGGCTACCAGGGTAAGGAACTGGGGACGCAGTGGGTAAACATGCCTGCAGGTGGCTGGCCATACATGGGCACCAGCATGGGCAGGCCAACATCAGGGACACTTTACCAATCCCTCTGCTTCTGGCTTCCGTAGAGTGTCTAAAGGGCAACGTAGACCTGGTATTCCTGTTTGATGGCTCAGGGAGCTTGCAACCAAGTGAATTTCAGAAAATTCTGGCCTTCATGAAGGATGTGATGAAGAAACTCAGCAATTCTTCCTACCAGGTAAGTATATTAGCTAGGATTCCTGTTATAGGCGCCTCCTTAAGGCATAAAAGGAAATTTTAGTATGTCTAGGAAATTTTAGGTGTTCCCAGGCCCTAAGGGCATGGATAGGTATAATTGGACCTCTGGAAGGGACAAGAACAAGGAATAGAAAGCTTCTAGAATTTCCTCTAGTTCTCATTTCTGTTTCTTTTTTACTGTTGCCTCCCTTTTCGCTTTCTCTCTCTCTCTCTCTCTCTCTGTAGAATGGCTCCCTCAGCTTCTTTGGATCACATGGGCCTGTGGAAAGTTCTTAAGTTCACATGTTAAAGTTTCAGGAGGTTGGTTCAACTAACCCCTCCCACTGCAAATTCCAAATTCTCAGAGAAAAAATTATTGGCCTAGCCTCAGTCAAGTGGCTATCCTTGGCTCAGCCAACTGTACCCTATTTAGCAGGGTCACTCAGAAGAAGAGCTACGGGGAACCAGTTCTGTAGGTGAGGTAGGCAGACCCAGAGAACCGGAGCTCAGCAGACAGCACTACATAAAGAGTCAGAGATTTATTTAATTTTATTTTGTGTCTGTTTATTTTCAAAAGAATGATCGAGGCAGGGCAGTGGAGTTGGATGGCCCAAGTCCTGGATAAGAAGTAGAGATTGGAGCCAGGCCGGCCGGCATGGCTCCGTGTTTGAATGTCAGCCCATGAACAAGGAGGTCACGGTTGGATTCCCGGTCAGGGCACATGCCTGGGTTGCAGGCTCCATTCCCGGTAGGGGATGTGCTGGAGGTGGCCAATTGATGATTCTCTCTCATCATTGATGTTTCTCTTTTCCTCTCCCTTCCTCTCTCTGAGATCAATGAAAGCATAAAAGAAAAAGAAGTAGAGATTGGAGCAGACAAGTGAGAAGGCTGATATAACATTTCATTTCTTCCTTCTTCTTATAGTTTGCTGCTGTTCAGTTTTCCACGACCTACAAAACAGAATTTACTTTCTTGGATTATGTTAATCAGAAGAACCCTGATGTGCTGCTGGGCAAAGCACAACACATGAAGCAGCTGACCAACACCTTCGGTGCCATAAGATATGTCGCGTGAGTTCCCTTTGGCGGGAGAGAGCCCCCCGTCAGTCGTTCTGTGCGCACTAGCTTCTCTAAGTTGGGGTGTAGAACTCAACAGGCGGGTGCAGCAAGGGGCAGGTTATTGTAAGAACTCAAGGCTCTGGGTTGTAAGAGAAGTTGACTTTAACTGACTAAATCCCAAGGGAGGCTGCAGGGGTACTCATGAGCCTCTGAGACAGGGAGCACGGCCAGGCCTCCCGGGGGGGCCGGAGCCAGGACTCAGAAAGCGACTGTGAACCACGCCAGCCACAGCAGAGTCACCACTTAGACGGGAACCAGCTTTGAAGTCAGCCCATGGCCAAAAATCTCAAATACTCAGAATTATCCTTGAATTGTTCGTAGAATTCAATATGTCCAAGTCCCATACTGGAAATTAGTATATCTCGATTTCCTAAATTTACTACAGAAAAAAATGTTCCCCAGCTGGATCAGATTGCTGTGTTTAAATTGAGACCTAAATGGACGGAGCAGGGTTGTGTCGAAGGGCCACACTGTATATTTCTTAAAGACCTATTTTTAAACATTAGACTGGCCATGGAAACTGAGAGCAATTTGAGGAAGAAGAGAATTACATCTCCTCTCCATGTTCCCACTCAAGTTGAGTGAAACAGCCAGATGGGTCTCCTATACTATTACACTTCTCCTTTGCATTTCTTTGCCAAGGATGTAGAGTTGGATTTGCACAAGTTGAACATGTGTGTGATACATCCCAGGGCTCTGCATGCGTGTTTCTAGCTCTTTCCTTCTGGGGCTTGCTTGACCTGTCATTATCCACTTCATTCTTTTCTCTCTGTAGACAGCTTTGGTGGGTACACAGTCAGGCGACATCCACTGAAAAAATGGCAGCTTCAGTTCCTCAACCTGAATTCCAGCCTCCAGGCGAGAAAGTGATTGGCTAAGCCTGGGTTAGGTCCACCCAGCCACGGCCTGGGTCTACTTTATGGTGCAGAGTCACATGACACAGACATGGGTTCTGGGGTCCCTCCAGGGGAAGGGGGTAATTCTTAGAGAAAGGGGTCACCACAGGATGGGAGGACACCCCAACAGGTGTCAACTGTGGGAGCAAAAAGTAATGGAAATGGATTTCATAAACACTTCTTGACATTCTGGCTGTGTGCCAGGCAGTGCTCCAGGTTAGGAGTTGGCAAGTGTGTGTGTTTTTTCTGTAAAGGACCAAATAGTAAATATTTTAGGTTTTTCCGGCCACATACGGTATCTGTTGCATATTATTCTTTGTTTGTTTTTGTAACCCTTTGAAAACAAAAACATAAGCACACATTTTTAGCTCATGGACCATATAAACACAAGCTGAGGGCTGGCTGGGGCCTGAAGGTGGTTATTTGCCATGTTCTAGGGGCCAGGACGATAGCAGTGAATAGAACAAAGAAAAATCTCTGCCCGCTTGGACCTTAACATTCCAGCAGAGGAAAGAAATGTCATCAGCAGGATAAATAAGTAAATTAGTTAATACAGGAGAAGATATGTTTGACTAAAAACAGAGCAATACCCACTAGGAGGATCAGGGAAGGTTACGTTCGAGCAAAGACTTGTGGGAGTTGAGGAAGCGAGCCATGTGGAAACCTGGGGGCAGACCCGGCGGAGGGAATGGCAAAGGGCCGGAGGTGAGATGCTCGGGATGTCCCAAGGAAAGCCAGGGCACCAGCGTGGCCGGAGAGAAGTGAGTGAGGGGAGAAAGAGCGCGAAGGAGGGCCGAGAGGCCACGGGTGTCGGGAGGAGTGGGGGGCCTAGTGGGGACTTTGGCTTTTCCTCTGAGTAAATGAGGCATCATGGGAGGTTTTGAGCAGAGGGGTGATCATCTGATTCATGTTTTTGGAAAGGCTCCCTCTGGCTGCAGGGTTGGTATGAGACTGTGGAGGGGGCAGAGATGGGAGCAGGGAAGGCAGCTGGGAGGCCGTTGGAAAATCTAGATGGGGTAGAGATCCATGAACAGGACCCACGCTGGGCCATGTCTGTGTGGATGGAGGTTAAAGAAATAGTTTGCATCCAACATAGAAGTAGAGGTCTTGACAGCAGGTGTTTTGGGCCTGCCCACCAGGGCTCCTGTGTCGTCGGCAGCTCCCATGGAACTTTTCAGCCCTCCTCCCCGCGTCTCTCCTTCGCCTCACTGTGGCCGCTCCACGTGGCTCTCAGCTTCTGCTCCTAAGGCAGGTCCTGTCACAGTCAGGGCTTGCGGACTGGCGGCTCTTGGATTAATCATCCGTCGCTGGTTCGTTGGGGGGGGGGGGGGGAAGAAGGGTCAGAGGGTCCCAATACAACTGCTGTCCCAGCAGAATCTGTGGGCAACCGATCTTGCTTCATGAGGAGGCTGCAGAGGGCGGAACCTGGAGCCGGGGCCCGTCCAGTATTCAGTCCTCCCGTCCTGCTATTTCACACCCGCTGAGCACCTGCTGTCGGCAGCCATAGATGCAGCAGCAAAGTAAACATGGCCCTTTCCTGGAGGAACTCATGTCCCATGCCTTTGGGGGAAAATTGACACAGAAATCAGTTGCTTCACTTCCCCGGGAGACTTGCTGCAGCAGAGACCTACCGGCCGCCGGGGCGCGGGCGGCAGAGACGGTGCTACATGCGCCTGCTCGCGAAGAGTGACTCTCCAGTTTTCTTTGGTCATGGAACCCCCCCCCCCTTGGAAATCTCACCTAAATCACCAACATATCTGATCGGAAGATAGTTGCCATGTGGTTGAAATGGAGGGTAGGATGCCCAGAGCCTCCCCTCATGTAGCCTCCCCTTCCCACTGATGGGTTCTGGGGCAACTTCCTGACTGCCCGGAATTCAGTTGAAGGTACTGGCTGAGGAGAGGTGTGGCAGCAAGGACAGGAAGGAGGCTCAGAAGAGAACTTGGCAGGCCGGAATCGGGAATCGCTGCAGAGAGGGAAGGGGGGGAGGAGGTGGAGGGAGGGGTGAAGGGGGGTGGATGTGAGAAGAGCTTTTCATAATCAGCAGGGCAGTGAGTTAATGAGAGAGGGCGGGGTGAGGGAGACTCCATATGATTTGGGGGGAGTCTCTCACATCCCGCCTCCTTAAATACAGGACCCAGGTCTTCCGGGAGGAACTTGGGGCGCGGCCAGATGCCAGCAAAGTGCTTATCATCATCACGGACGGGGAAGCCACTGACATTGGCGACATTAGTGTGGCCAATGACATCATCCGCTACATCATTGGGGTATGGGCCCCAGGTGCCAAGCCTCTGCCTTCTTCCTACGTCTCATCTTCCCTCGCCCGTTTCTGACCCAACTTCCCTTTCTCCTGGGAGCCATGGTCCCGTGAAAATAGTAGGAAATTGGTCTGCGATTCTGGGGATGTCAGCACTTCTCTCTTCTCTCCTTCACAGATCGGGAAGCATTTTGTGAGCAAGAAAAATCAGGATTCACTTCACAAATTTGCTTCAAAACCGGTGGAAGAGTTTGTGAAGATTCTGGACACGTTTGAGAAGCTTAAAGACCTGTTCACGGAGCTGCAGAAGAAGATCTATGCCATCGAGGGTGAGTGGCAGACCCTGGAGAGCTAGTTCAAGAAATTATATACAGAAGCTCACCTGGGACATGAGGTTGGAGGCAGGCTGAATGGTAGTAAGGGGCACCTCCTCAGTGGCTGACGCAGAGCTGAGAGCTCTCCTGAAAAAGACCTCGGGCAGGAATTTAGGAGAGAGCGATTTAGGAGCAGCTTCCATTCCCTCTGAAATTCCTTCTTCCTCCTGAAGTTTAGCTTGGTCCAGGCTGAGGCCCAGGACTGAACTCTATCTTGCCGGAGTCAGCTGAGCCCTGTGGAATGACCATAATGCCTTACCCCGCCCTCAGCTTCTTCATTCCGTTATCCTAGGCCTCAAATGACTTAAGATGGGTAACGGGCTGTGGCCAACTGCAAGTAGCCCATAGGCGCTCTTCCTTGGTCCAGAATAGAGAAGATTTTGATTGGCATCAGCAGAGGGAGGACTGGCCATGGGAGGGTATTTCCCCGGGAGGCCTAGTCTGCTGGAAGGGACATGGTTCCCACAGGGAAGGCGCCTTTGCTGGGCCAGAGCTTTGGTGTTCAGCTCAGCACGTTGGTGACATCGGGCCCAGCCCCCACAGTCTGGCTGGAATACCTCCGTTCAGTGTCCAGGAAGCGGGAATGGGAGAGTCCAGAAGCAGTGTGGTGTGTATAGTAGAACCAGGCAGACCTGCTCAAGAATCCGCTCTGCCTGTGCTGCGTGGCCTCAGCCAGGTCATTCTCCCTCTGAGGCTCCCCGTTCTCTGTTAAAGGGGGATGATGGCGCCGATCTCACAGGATTGTAAGGTGTAACTGTTGTACTAGTTTCCGAGGTCTGCTATAACCAAGCACCACACAGCAGTGGTTAAAGCAACAGACATTTACTGCCTTATAGTGTTAGAGGCTAGGAGCGAGAAATCAAGGGGTCAGCAGGGCCATGCTCTTTCTGAAAGTTCTAGAAGAGCGTTCTCCTTGCCTCTTCTGGCTCCTGGTGTTTGCCAGCAGTCCGCGGCCTTCCTCGACTTGTACTGCGTCGCTGTCACATGGCTGTCTTCTCCCCGTGTCTTCACGTTGTCTTCCCTCTGTGAGTGTCTGTCTGTGTCTGAATTTCCCATTTTACAAGGACGTCAGTCATATTGGGTTGGGGCCCACCCTACTGACCTCATCGTAACTTGGTTACCTCTTAAAGACCGTATTTCCAAACAAGGTCACATTCTGAAGTACTGGGGTTAGGACTTCAGCATACCTTTTTTAAAAAATATATTTTTATAAGCATAACCAATGGACACAGGACCCTGGGGGGTAGGGGAGGCTGGGGGAATGTTAAGGGGGGGGAGGAGACATATGTAATACTTTTGTAATACTTTAAGCAATAAAAAAAATTAAAAAATATATATTATTGATTTCATAGAGGAAGGGAGAGGGAGAGAGAGAGAAACATCAATGATGAGAGAGAATCATTGATCGGCTGCCTCCTGCACGCCCCCCACTGGGGATTGAGCCTGCAACCTGGGCATGTGCCCTTGACTGGAATCAAACCCGGGACCCTTTAGTCCACAGGCTGATGCTCTAAACACTGAGCCAAACCAGCTAGGGTTCAACATACCTTTTTTAGGGACCACAACTCAACCCCTAACAACTGCTTAGCAAATTGCTCAGCTCTAAATTATACCTCTTACTATCTGTAGCCCTTATCCTCCCTTCTGACCTGCCCTTACTCATCCTTCAGGTCTTAGTTTACTTATTTTTAAAAATATATATTTTTTATTGATTTCAGAGAGGAAGGGAGAGGGGAAGAGAGAGAGAAACATCAATGATGAGAGAGAATCATTGATCGGCTGCCTCCTGCACGCCCCACACCGGGGATCAAGCTCACGACCCAGGCATGTGCCCTGACCACCAATTGAACCATGACCTCCTGGTTCATAGGCCTGATGCTCAACCACTGAGCCATGCTGGCCGGGCAGATCTCAGTTTAGATGTCACTTCCTCTGGTAAGTGTTCAGGTGTAGTTTGAAGGTAGAACCAATGTGAGTTAGTGATACAGTGGAGATAGAACAGGGGGACCGGGCGGAATCAAGGTTTATTCCCGGGTTTTCAGCGTGATTCCCGAGGAGGTGGGGGTGTCATCCGCTGATGGGGACGTCCTGGTGGGCACCGAAGTCGAATGCTGCATCCCAGACAAGCTGATGGCAGTAGCTGGTCACCCCTCGGGGCTCATGGAGGGGAAGCCACTGGCAGACGCTGTGCTTCCCCTCAGTCCCGCGTGGCACTGTGCTTACTGCTCCTCGGTCTCGCCTGCCCCTTAGGCACAAACAAGCAGGACCTGACGTCCTTCAACATGGAGCTGTCCTCCAGCGGGATCAGCGCGGACCTCCGCGGGGTGAGTGGGCTGAGCGAGGGCCAAGGGAGGCCGTGGGCGCAGCCGCCCGTTCTGACCCTGCTCGCCTCCTCCCGGGCAGGACCATGGCGTCGTGGGGGCGGTCGGCGCCAAGGACTGGGCCGGGGGCTTCCTGGACCTGCAGGCCGACCTGCGGGGCGACACCTTTGTTGGCAACGACCCGCTGACCCCGGAGGCGAGAGCCGGATACCTGGGTGAGTGCCGCTCCTCACGCGGGTCGGGTTCGTGTGGTTTTCAGGGCCAGGGGGTCGCTCAGCCTGACTTTCAAAACAAGTAAATGAAAGCAGTTAAGCGGCAGGAACGCAATCAGAGTTTAAATACGGTGACAGCATTCTTAGCTTTTCCCTGGACAACCCCTCAGCTGGGTGTCAGTCATGCTTTTATTTTCCGTATTTTATGAGGCCTTATAGCAGTGGTTCTCAACCTTCTGGCCCTTTAAATACAGCTTCTCATGTTGTGACCCAGCCATAAAATTATATTCGTTGCTATTTCATAACTGTAATGTTGCTGCTGTTATGAATTGTCATGTAAATATCTGATATGCAGGATGGGCTTAGGCGACCCCTGTGAAAGGGTCGTTCCACCGCCAAAGGGGTCGCGACCCACAGGTTGAGACCAGCTGCCTTAGAGCCTGAAGCTTTGCCCCTCCCAGGGCCAGCTCATCCCCACAGAGAGCAGACAGCACGCCTTCTCTGTGCCAGCCAGCGACCCCTGAGCACCAGCTGCCGCTGTACCTAACTTCTTACACCACGCCAGTCTCCCCCCACCTGCCAGGCACTAGGCACCCAGAGAAACCCCTGCAACCCAGAGCTGCCAACATGATCACACTGCCGCCCTCAACTTGCTCAAGCTCGCTCGCCCGGCCTCAGTCATTCCTCCCCTCAGACACCTCCAGGCCGCACTCGCCCTCCCTCCCCCTGCCTCCTTCCTGACCTGTGCTGCCCCTGTGGCCTGGCTGGCCTCCCCCCCCCACCCCCCCCACCCCCCCGCTTTGGGGAGCTGTGAGTCAGAAGCGTCTCTCCATGGCAGTGACCTGTGTAGTCACTAGTCGTTCCTCTACATGAAACCCAGGGACAGTTAAACAGCCCGCAGGTTACAGGTTACGGGGGACCAGCAGCACCGCCCGGCTCCCTCCTGCTGAGTTTCCTGGAGCCGCGGTGGGCGCAGCCCCAGCTCTTCCGCGAGTGCGGTCACTCCCATCGCCCCGTGCCTCCGCCACCGCTGCCGTCTTGCCCTGCCCAGGCGATGGCCTCTCAGGCTGCAGAGGGCCTCGCCTTGGAGCTCTTCCCATCACATTCATGTCGCCAGCCTGTCCCAAGGCGCAAACGGGGCCCAGGGCCCCGCACAGGGCTGCTTGCAGCTCTGCCTTCCCACTGGCCGAGAACCACCTGCCTCATGCAGGCCCTGGGGGGGGGGGGGGGGGGTCTCCTTCATTCAACAATCAAACCACGAAGATCTTGTTAAATTCCTCATCGGCATCTGCTCTTTAGGGAGGCTGCGCTCAGGGATTTCTTTTTCCTTTTTCTGAGGTTCTCTGCTGAGCAAGGCGCTGCTCTGAGTGCGTGGCGCTGCTCTGAGTGCGTGGCGCTGCTCTGAGCGCCTGGCGCTGCTCTGAGCGCGTGGCGCTGCTCTGAGGGCGTGGCGCTGCTCTGAGGGCGTGGCGCTGCTCTGAGGGCGTGGCGCTGCTCTGAGTGCGTGGCGCTGCTCTGAGCGCCTGGCGCTGCTCTGAGCGCGTGGCGCTGCTCTGAGGGCGTGGCGCTGCTCTGAGGGCGTGGCGCTGCTCTGAGGGCGTGGCGCTGCTCTGAGTGCGTGGCGCTGCTCTGAGTGCGTGGCGCTGCTCTGAGTGCGTGGCGCTGCTCTGAGGGCGTGGCGCTGCTCTGAGGGCGTGGCGCTGCTCTGAGGGCGTGGCGCTGCTCTGAGGGCGTGGCGCTGCTCTGAGGGCGTGGCGCTGCTCTGAGTGCGTGGCGCTGCTCTGAGTGCCTGGCGCTGCTCTGAGGGCGTGGCGCTGCTCTGAGGGCGTGGCGCTGCTCTGAGTGCCTGGCGCTGCTCTGAGTGCGTGGCGCTGCTCTGAGTGCGTGGCGCTGCTCTGAGGGCGTGGCGCTGCTCTGAGGGCGTGGCGCTGCTCTGAGGGCGTGGCGCTGCTCTGAGCGCGTGGCGCTGCTCTGAGCGCCTGGCGCTGCTCTGAGCGCGTGGCGCTGCTCTGAGCGCCTGGCGCTGCTCTGAGCGCGTGGCGCTGCTCTGAGTGCGTGGCGCTGCTCTGAGTGCGTGGCGCTGCTCTGAGTGCCTGGCGCTGCTCTGAGTGCGTGGCGCTGCTCTGAGTGCGTGGCAGGTATTGACATACTCGATCGCATTTTATCTTCACGACAGCCCTGTGAGCAGGGATTTTATTATCTCTAGTTTAAGCCGAAGGAACTGGAGAGGTAAGTAACTCCCTCGGGTCACAGACCTGGGGCCGGGAGCCCAGGAGCCTAGGCCCAGGTGTGCTGGCACCTGCACCGCGGCCTTCAGGGTGGATTTTTGTGCTTTAACATCCGTAAAATAGCTGCAGTGTCGCTCAGTAAAGAGGAAGAAATAACTCCCAACACGAATCTCCACCCGCTACGTGTGCGGGTGCACGCACACACGTGTACGCACTTATGAATAAATTATAATACAATCGTGAGTGCCTGTTACGCTCCATCCTTCAGATCTTAGTTCAGATAGCACCAGCCTAGTGCTAAGCGTTTTCTATCAATGGCCTTATTTACTTCTCAAAAACCACCCTGTACGGTTGATACTATCCCCATTTTTAAAAAACCTTAAACCGAGGATATGTTTTTATTGATTTTTAGAGAGAGAGGGAGGGAGCGAGAGAAACATTGATGTGAGAGAGAAGCATCTGTCGATTGCCTCCCAAACGCGCCCTCTGACTGGGGATGGAACCCTCGTCCTTTTGGATGGAGCATGAAACGAAGCGCCAACCACTGAGCCACCCAGCCAGGGCAATCCCCATTTTTTTAGATGAGAAAACTGAGGCTCGATAGCGAGGAAGTAATAACAGGATTAAAACCGCATCTGTCTGATTTCAAAGGGCAAGTTCTTAACCTTGTGCTTCAGCAACAGACATGAGTGAAGGGAGGGTGGCTCGGCCTCTTCACCCTCGGCTCCTGCGCCATAGGCCCAGACATCTCTGCCTTCGCACCCGCTGTCAGCTGCTCTAAGCAGAGAAGATAAAATTGGGTCAGTGCCCTGCTTTCTGGATCAGAGCATCCCTATTGGCTGGCGCCTGCTCTGCAGACTCCTGGGTGCTTCCTGTGGTATCTCAGACATTTCATCATTGCTGGGAGGGAGGGGCTGGCACCTCGCCACCACCGCCACCACCACCACCGCCAGCGAGGTGTGATGCACGAAGATAACCTGAAGCCTTATCTTTAAGCAGGAAACGTTCCGATATTTGTGCGAACTTTGCATCCTTCTTGCTAATCTATCCCGTTTGATTGTATTGTGTATTTGAGAATGTCGTCTCCTTACCACCCCAGGTGAGCTGAGCAGCAGGAAGGCGCGGCGTGCGCTGCGGCTGCTCTGCTTGGCTGGCGCGGCCACGGCCTGAGAAACGCAGCCGTGGCCGTGGCCATGGCCGTGGCCGGGATGGAGGGTCTGCGCCGCGCCCGGCACACGGCTCCTCTTCTCGGGAGGCCTCCTGGGCATTTCAGTGCGACTGTGCTGCTGACCAGCTCCCCGGGGCCTCTGCCCTCCCCGTGTCACCCTCTCCCAGCAGTCATTGCGTTGCTGACTCCAAGTCCATGCTCTCTCCGTAGGTTACACAGTGACCTGGCTGCCCTCCCGGGGTCTCACGGCACTGCTGGCCGCTGGAGCCCCCCGATACCAGCATGTGGGGCGGGTGCTGCTCTTCCAACAGTCGGGGGACAAAAGACAGTGGAGCCAGATCCAGAGAATAGACGGGACCCAGGTGAGCATGGCCCACGGCGCCGCCCGCGGGGACCTCACGCTGCCTCTGCACCAGGCCCGCCTGCTGCCTGCCGGCCGGCGCCCAACCTGTCGCACCTGCTCCGCACCCGCCCTCTGAGGCAAGCGCTGTCACCTCCACTCGCCAGCTAAAGAAACCGGACCCCGGGGAACCCCACTTGTCCGGGTTCCCCCAGGCCCTGAGTGGGATGGACGGACTGTCACTTGGGGCACTGGACGCAGCTGAGGAGCCGGGTCTCCTGCTCACAGGCTCCTCCTCAGCCGCCTCCTCTCCCTGAAGGTCGGCTCTTACTTCGGTGGCGAGCTGTGTGGCATTGACGTGAACCGAGATGGGGAGGCGGAGCTGCTGCTGATTGGAGCGCCCCTGTTCTACGGGGAGCAGAGGGGCGGCCGGGTGTTTGTCTCCGAGAGGAAGCAGGTGAGGACCAGGCCATGGAGCTGAGGGGGGGGATAAACAGATTTCCAGGCAGCCCAGGCCCCAGTCACTTTGAGTCTTTCCCTGTCGGATTGTGTGTGAACCAGACCTTCCGGACCACAGACAGGCAGGCGGCAGCTCACGCTCAGGGACGGCGGGCAGGCTGTGTGGCAGGCCCAGGGCACCCTGTCTGTGTGTGCGCCCTCACGTGGCGCTCACAGGCACCTCCCACGGTGCTGCGACCCGTCTCTGACGAAGGCGAACTCGCGGCTCAGCAAGGCTGGGGCCTTCCAAAGCCACAAGGTCACCAGAGAGCGAGAGGTGGAGCTGGGACTTGAGCCCCGTCAGCCGGTGGCATCATTCCGGTTTGAGGGACCACAGCGGCGTTTCTTTAGTGTGCGTCACGCACGAAAGGCGCGCCCTGTGAAAGCTTGCCGAGTGACTGGGGTGGGCCCTGTCACCTCGCTCCTTCCCAGCTGGGGTTCGAGGTGGTCTCGGAGCTGCAGGGGGATCCTGGCTACCCCCTTGGGCGATTCGGAGCGGCCATCACTGGCCTGGCAGACATCAACGGCGACGGGCTGACGGACGTGGCGGTGGGCGCCCCTCTGGAGGAGTGGGGGGCTGTGTACATCTTCAATGGGCAACCCGGTGGGCTGAGCCCCCGGCCGAGTCAGGTGAGGTACCCTGCCTGCCAGGTAAACCCATTCCCAAGGGCCCGGCAGCCTCTAAGCCCAGACCCCACCCCACCCCGCCTGACCCCACTCGTCCCACCCTCCAGCCAGCCCTCTTCCCAGCTTAGCATGAATTTCTCTCTTGGTCTCAGCGGATAGAAGGGACCCAGGTGTTCCCAGGAATTCGATGGTTCGGACGCTCCATCCACGGGGTGAAGGACCTGGGAGGGGACGGCCTGGCAGACGTGGCTGTGGGCGCCGAGGGGCAGGTGATCGTGCTGAGGTAAGACAGGACTCCCAGGCGCCACCTACAGTAAACGCGGCTTCCGTCCTTCCAACAGGTGCTGTGCTAACGGCTTAGGCGCTGGCTCACTCGGTCTCCTCTCCCCCCTGTGGGATGGGTTCTCTGGTTACACAGGCTTCATGCCTCGTCCCAGGAAAACTGCTGCCATTCAGCAACAGACTAGGATTTGAACGCAGGCCTGTCTGACATTAAAGCCTCGAGAAGCAACAGCATGTGAAGGCCCTAGAACAGCCGTGGGCAAACTACGGCCCTCGGGCCGGATCCGGCCCGTTTGAAATGAATAAAACTAAAAAAAAAAAGACCGTACCCTTTTATGTAATGATGTTTACGTTGAATTTATATTAGTTCACACAAACACTCCATCCATGCTTTTGTTCCGGCCCTCCGGTCCAGTTTAAGAACCCATTGTGGCCCTCGAGTCAAAAAGTTTGCCCACCCCTGGCCCAGAACCAAGTGCCCTGGACTCAAGCACTGCCATTGACTTCTCGGGTGATCCTACCCCTGTCACTTAGCTTCTCAGGCCCTCAGTTCCCTCGTCTGTGAAATGATGATTAAGCCCCTGCCTTACCCGTATCTTAGAGTTATTGGAGATGTCGTGTAACATCATCTAGTGAACAGATATTTACTAAGCAGCTACTACGCCTTACATACCGACTTGGGTACCGAGAGTAGAAATTAGACAAAACGAAGTGTAATTGCAATGGTAAGTGCTGAGGGAAATGAACAGGGTGCTGTGAGAACGACGAGCAGGGGAGACCGACTATAGGTTGAGGGGCCAGAAACGGCCGCTCTGGGGAGGGGAGGTCTGAGCTGGGACTTGGAAGATGAGAAGCAGCCAGGCTTGCAGAAGTCTGGGGTAGAGCTTCCAGTGGGAGACCAGGCTGTGAGGCCGGCCAATGTCTGGTGGGCTGGGACGTGCTCGGCCACGGGAGCGTGTGTGGGAGAGACGACGGGAGGAGGGCAGGGTGGTGTGGATAGTAAAACGTTTGGATTTTATTGGGAGCATCGTGGCATCAGTGAAGGGTTATAAGCATGGAAGTAGCTCAGTATGATTTCTCTATTTTTTAAAAAATATATATTTTTTATTGATTTCATAGTGGAAAGGAGAGGGAGAGAGAAACATCAATGATGAAAGAGAATTATTGATTGGCTGCTTCCTGCACGCCCCCTACTGGGGATGAGCCTGCAACCTGGGCATGTGCCCTTGACTGGGATTGAACCCGGGACCCTTCAGTCCGCAGGCCGACCCTCTGTCCACTGAGCTAAACCGGCCAGGGCTGATTTCTCTTTTTAAAAGCTCACTCTTCTGTATGGAAAATGAAGACTGCCAGACTGAACCAGGAGTTAATGAGTTATCGTTATCGTTGCAAGGAGACACTGACGTCGCCGTCTGCTGTAGAGAGGGGGCCCCTCCGGACTCTGTAGATGGGTTTGTGGGTCTGAGTGGGGATTGCAGTTGAGGCCAAGGGAGAGAGTGGTTGTTTCCTGCCTGCAGCTCCCGGCCTGTGGTGGATGTCGTCACTCAGATGTCCTTCGCCCCCACCGAGATCCCGGTGCACGAAGTCGAGTGCTCCCAGTCAGCCGGCAGCAAGAAGAAGGAAGGCGTTAACATCACAGTCTGTTTCCAGGGCAAGCCCCTCATGCCCCAGTTCCAAGGTCAGTGCTGTCCCCTGCTCCCCAGAGCCTCTGCCCCCCCGAATCCAGGCTTATGGCCCCAGGATCCACCACCGTTCAACTCCTGCCTTTCACTCCGCTCAGGACTCCTGGTTACCAACCTCACTTACACTCTGCAGCTGGACGGCCATCGGATTCGAAGCCGGGGGTTGTTTCCAGGAGGGAGGCGTGAACTCAACGGGAACATAGCCGTGACCCAAGTCGAGTCCTGCATTCCGTTCTGGTTCCACTTCCCGGTAAGGGAGCCAGCAAGGCTGCACCAGGAAGTGAAGGGGGATGAGCTGAGCCGAGAGAGGCAGCTCTGGGTGCAAGGCTTAGCTCTGGGTCACAGCTGAGTCACAAGTCACTTTGATCTCTCTGTACTACCGTTTCCGCTCCTGTGCGACAACAGTAATAACACCTTTAGCGTATTTCCTTCCGGTCCTTAATCTATATACAGGCGTTTTCCACAGGACTATGACTGTAAGGTACTTACCATTCCTTCCTACTCTTTTCCTATGTCATGTATTAACGCTGCTGCCCAGCTTTCATAATCATTTGTCAGTACTACAGAATACGCAGGGGAGAATGTCACTATTTGCCAGGTACACACGGGCAGTTATTATTCATCTCCATCTCAGAAAAAGGTTTTTTAATATTGACTTGAACAATTGCTAAAACACCCAAATTCCGTTCGCTCATCACAGTCCTGTGTAAAATAGGTTTGACTCAGTGGTTCTCAACCTTCCTGATGCCGCGACCCTTTCATACAGCTCCTCATGCGGTGGTGACCCCCAACCATAAGATTATTTTTGTTGCTACTTCATCACTGTAATGTTGCTACTGTTATGAATCGTCATGTAAATATCTGATCTGCAGGATGTATTTTCATTGTTCGCGACCCACAGGTTGAGAACCGCTGTGTCTCTTGAACATTGCATAAGAGACTCGGTATATGATTGGTGTATAAAATCTTGCAGTTGGCTTTATATTTTTCATTATGGGAATGTTCAGGCATACGAAAGTACAAAAAATAGTTGAATGAACCCCCAAGTACCTCTCACCAGTTATCAACTCAATTTATCACCAATTATCAATTATCTCAACAATTATCAACTCAATTTTATTTCATTCACAGCTTAACTAGTGCCCCTGTGCCTCCTCACAGACCTGCCCCCCCATTACTAAACTTGGAAATTTTACACATAAATTTGTCAGCAAAGAAGCTCTATGATATGCTAGAAAAAAATAAAGTTTAGACTTGGGAGTTGGAAATATTTGGGTTCATTTCCTAGTTCTAGTCCTTAGAAAAATTGTGTCACCTTTTTAGACCTTATCTTCCTCCCCTTTAATGTGGAGGGTTGGTAGAAACTAGGTGAATACGATTTGAGTAACTTCAAATGTCCTGTCAGGCACTGGTAACAACAACTAAGACCCACCCCTGTTCTTAAGGAACCAGGCTATCCTATATAATAAAAGCCTAATAGCCCTGACCGGTTTGGCTCAGTGGATGGAGCGTCAGCCTGCGGACTCAAGGGTCCCAGGATCCATTCCGGTCAAGGGCATGTACTTTGGTTGCAGGCACATCCCCAGTGGGGAGTGTGCAGGAGGCAGCTGATCGATGTTTCTCTCTCATGGATGTTTCTGACTCTCTGTCCCTCTCCCTTCTTCTCTGTAGAACATCAATAAAATTTATTTAAAAAAAAATAATAAAAGCCTAATATGCTAAGTGTCCAGTCAGCCATTCAGCCAATCAAAGTGTAATATGCTAATGATATGCTAAGGCCACTCAACTGCTTGCTATGACATGCACTGACCACTAGGGGGGCAGTCACTCCAACCAGTAGGTTAGCTTGCTGCTGGGGTCTGGCCAATCGGGACTGAGTGAGATGGGTCAGACATGCCCTGGAGCCCTCCCGTGGTTCCTCCCTGGCTGGCCAATCTGGTGGTCAGTGGCTCAGCCACATGCCAGGCTGATGGCTGGTGCACGCAGTGGCCCGCCTCTGCAGCAGCGCTAAGGATGTCCGACTGCGAGCGGGCCTAAGCCATCGGTCGGACATCCCCTGAGGGCTCCTGGACTGCGAGAGGGCGCAGGCTGGGCTGAGGGACACCCCCCCACAAGTGCACAATTTTCGTGCACTGAGCCTCTAGTTCTAGAATAGTCTTTTTTTGGTGCAGGCTTTCATAAAGGTTGCCTAGAGCAGTTGGACAAAGATTCGGGGTCTTCCTGTGGTGGCTTAGCAATGTCTGTGTTGAACTGGAACTGAGGAATGACACCTGGGCTGAGAAGCAACCCCGATGTGGAGTAAATGTATTCCCGCTACTAGTACGAAGACAACTAGTTACCAGCATTCCATCAGTTATAAAACCTGGACAAGGGGTGCATGTCCCTGGAAGTGTGGCAAAGGTTAAACTCTTGCTGTAAGCTGTATTCTTTTCACCCTCAGGTATGCATTCAGGACCTCATCTCTCCCATCAATGTCTCCCTGAACTTCTCTCTCTGGGAGGAAGAAGGGACACCGAGAGACCAAAGGGCGGTAAGGAGACATCAGCTGGGGGAATTGACAGGAAATAGAGGAGAGTAGAAATTCAGTTAGCAACACTGTGTTATAGTGGAGTCTTTGGTTTAAAGCAATAGAAACCAAACATGGCTTACTTAAGCAGGAGAGGAATTTATGGGAGTTTGTATTTAAAAGAAATTTGGAAAAGCAAGATTGGGAAGAAGGGGAATCAGGGTGGAGGCTCTGAGGCTTCTCCAGGGGAAGACGTGATGAATGGGCTCTTCAGGGCATGCATCTCATTGGTCAGAACATAGTCACATGGTCACACCTGATTACAACACTCTGAGAAACACATGTGGTCATGTGACCAGATTTTTAAAAATGGAGGTTCTATTTTATTTATTTAAATATATTTTTATTGATTTCAGAGAGGAAGGGAGGGGGGGAGAGAGATAGAAACATCAGTGATGAGAGAGAATCATTGATCGGCTGCCTCCTGCACGCCCCACACTGGGGATTGAGCCCGCAACCCGGACATGCGCCCTGACCGGGAATGGAACCATGATCTGGTTTATAGGTTGACACTCAGCCACGCCGATCGGGCTGGTGGCTCTACTTTAAAGGTAGATGGGGAGGGAGGATATATGGGGACAACCAGCACTCTGCCATTGGCACTAACTTTTGAAAAGCCAAACTGTCATATAGGAGCTCAGGGTAGAAGAGTGATCTGCAGTCACTATTGTCAGAAAAAGACTTTCTGGGGGAGGCGCCGTTGCCGTTGGGTCCTGTGGGATGAGTGGCTCTGGGTAGGTGGAGCGAGGAGAGGCAGCGGGCACAGCATGAGGAAAGGTAGGGGGTAAGTTCCAGGCAAATGGGAGGTGGGCTTGGCTTCTGGCAGGACAGCTGAGCAAGACAGAGTCCCTGACTGCCCATTTGGGGGCTGGCGGTGGCCCAGCGGGTGGCGGTATGAAGGTTGAGGTTGGGTTGGAGCAGTCGGCAGAGGCTGCCAGGACCCCTGCCCCTCAAGGAAGTCAAGAGGCTGCTTGGCGGTTGACCCAGAAGCAGAGGAGGCTGGAATCTCTCTAGAACAGCGGGCGCCAGCCTTTCGGACCTCACGGACCACCAGTGGCCCGCAGACCACCGGTTGGCGACCGCTGCTCTAGAACATACAACTGATAGCCCATAAGATACTGCTGTGATCTCATTATGTCAGGATGAAGTCCCAACTCCCTCTCAGGGCTTGCAAGGCCCAGGGACCTGGGTGGGCTTCTCTCTCCTGCCCCTCTGACCCACGGCCCTGCACAGGCACAGTCTCTCTTGCCTCGAGCCCTTGTGAGGACTGTTCTTCCCCCACCCCCTCCCCACCCCTCCCTTTCCTTCCCTGGGCTCCCTCCTGCTCATCCTTTAGATTTCCTTTGAGAGGCCACTCCTTCAGGAAGGCCACCCCCAATCCCCACTTGTGGGGTGGGATTTCCTCCTGCATTCCTCTACATGTCCCCCCGTAAGCCTGAAGGTGCCAGGTCGTTTCTCCCACCAGACTGGGAGGGCAGGAGTGTGTCCATTTGGTTCTCGGCGCATACCCAGTGCCGGCATGGGGCCTGGCCCAGAGAGGAAGCTCTGGAAATATTGTAAAAACTGACCTTGATCTAGAGAGCTGTTGTCGGGGGCGCTGGGGGTCACAGAGGGAGCCCAGAGGACATTCCTGCCAGGGAAGGAGCTGGGCCGGGAGGAGCTGTGGGCTGCTCTGTCAGGCCTGACCTGTCCAGAGAGGGAATGGACACCCCGATCCTCAGCCTCCCCCGAGGAGCTACCACCAGAGGGCGGCTGCACAGATGGCCTTGGGCTGGGTCAGGGGGTGGGCCCTGCCCTGGGAGGGTGTGGTCCTGGGAGGGGCGACCACAGCTGGCCCAGCAGAGCCTGAGCCACTAACCGCTCCTGTCACTCCTGTGTTCAGCAGGGCAAGGACATCCGGCCCATCCTGAGACCCGCCCCCCACTCAGAGACCAAGGAGGTAAGAGGGGACGAGGGGCTGCGGGGAGGCCAGCGCCAGGCCTCCCGGGTCTGCGGGCCTGAGCCTCCCGTCCTTTCTCCTTGGCCTGTCAGATCCCTTTTGAGAAGAACTGCGGAGAGGACAAGAAATGCGAGGCAGACCTGGGGCTGTCCTTCTCCCCTGCAAGGTCTGTAAGGCTCCCCTCCTGCTCCCCTCGGAAGACCCGCATCCGCACTCACTAGATGTGTTCTCTGGGCCTCGGTTTCCTTCTCTGAGAAATGCCAATCCCTGCGGCTCTCCTGTCAGGGTTAAACGAGGCTGGAAAACGTCAGGCCTGCGCGCAGGAGCTGTATTTGTGGGTTATTTTGTCTGGACTACCACAGTCCGCAGTCCCGATCCCGCTTCCTTCACCTTAACCCCCGTGACGTTCCCGGTCTCCCCCCAGATCCAGGGTCCTGCGGCTGACCCCCTCTGCCAGCCTCGCCGTGGAGCTGACCCTGAGCAACTCGGGCGAAGATGCATACTGGGTCCAGCTCAGCCTGGGTTTCCCCCGGGGACTCTCCTTCAGGAAAGTGGAGATGCTCAAGGTGAGTGAGAAGGCAGGGCCCGCCCGGCTTCCCTGCGCGTCCTGCAGCTTCTGCCGCCTCTGGACACTCAGGCGGCCAGGCATGGGCACCGCAGCTCGCAGAGGTCTTTGGGCCAGGTTTGGGCTCGCAGCCCGATGGCCACCCTCAGGCTGGGTGGCCTGAGATACAAGTTCACCCTCTCTGAGCCTCAGATTCCACAACCAAAAAATGGGAACCTGAGAGGGTCCCGTGACAGGGGCTCCTGGACCTGCGGAGCAAGAGCATGCGCCAGGGGCCGGGAGACCCAGCTCCGCCCCCCGCAAGGCGACCCATGTGTTTTTGAGGCCTGGGTTGTCTTAAATACAACTTGTGTTTTTAAAATTGTTAGTACAAGAGTAATACATGATCCCCACAGAAACTTGGGAATTACAGAAACATTTAAAGAAGATAATCACCCATACTTCTACAACTCAGCAGTTACTACTTTGAATATTTTGGTATTTATCCTCTGTTTATACATACAAATTGCATTACACACACACACACACACACACACAGTATATATACTAGAGGCCCGGTGCATGGATTTGTGGGGTCCCTCGGCCTGACCTGCGGGGATCGGGCCGAAACCAGCTCTCTGACATCCCCCGAGGGGTCCCAGATTGTGAGACGGTGCAGGCCAGGCCGAAGGAACCCACTGGTGCACAATCAGGGAAGGGAGGAACAGCAGGAGGGTCCAGAGCATGTCCAGCCCATCTCACCCAGTCCTGATCAGCCAGACCCCCAGCAGCAAGCTAACCTACCGGTTGGAGCATCTGCCCCCTGGTGGTCAGTGCACATCATAGCGACTGGTCAAACGGTCAGACACTTAGCATATTAGGCTTTTATTATATAGGATTATATATTTTCATTGATTTCAGAGAGGAAGGGAAAGGGAGAGAGAGATAGAAACATCAATGATGAGAGAGAATCACTGATCAGCTGCCTTCTGCACACCCCTACTGGAGATTAAGCCCTCAACCCAGGCGTGTGCCCTTGATTGGAATCAAACCTAGGACACTTCAGTCCGCAGGCCAACACTCTATCCACTGAGCCAAACCAGCTAGGACAATTTATCTATTTTATATTTCTTTTTTACTAAAATGGCATTTTTTCTCCATGTTTTTTTAATGTTTTTATTGTGGTAAAATATATGTAATATAAACATTACCATTTTAACCATACAGTTCAGTGGCTTTGAGTACATTCATGATGTTGTGCAACCATCACCGCAATCTATTTGCAGAACTTTTTCATCATTGCAGAAGTTCTGTGCCCTTAAGCAATAACTTCCTGTTCCCCACCTTCTTCCCATGTGGCTCTAATCTGCTTTCCGTCCGTGCATTTGCCTATTCTGGATGTTTCCCATGAGAGGGATCATATACTTGTCCTTTTGTGTCTGTATGACTTCACTCAGAATAATGTTGTTGAGGTGCATGTGTAAAGTTCATTCTCTTTTAAGTGTAGGTAAATTTCCATGGTTTCTCCATTCGTCTGTCGGTGGACACCGGCCTTATTCTTACACAGCAACATCCAGTGCTTCCTCGAGGGGCATCTAGCGGAGTGATAAAGAACTAGGGCTGTGCCGAAACCGGTTTGGCTCAGTGGATAGAGTGTCAGCCTGCGGACTGAAAGGTTCCGGGTTCGATTCCGGTCAGGGGCATGTGCCTGAGTTGTGGGCACATCCCCGGTGGGGGATGTGCAGGAGGCGGCTGATCGATGTTTCTTTCTCATCGATGTTTCTGACTCTCTATCTCTCTCCCTTCCTCTCTGTAAAAAATCAATAAAATATATTTAAAAGAAAGAAAGAACTAGGGCTGTGGAGTCAGACAGGCCTGTGCTCCAGCCCCTGCCAGCTCCCTGCCAGCTTCCTCAGCTGTGAGACCTTGAGCAAGTCACTCAGCTCCCCTGACCTGTTTCCTTATCCCCGTCTGCGGCTGAAACCTGTTCCTCGCAGAGTGCGATGACGATCAATGGTTTTGTATTGCTTCGATCGAGCGCTTTAAAAGTGGTGGCTGAATGTGTCGCTGTAAGAGCAGTTTAACCCCCTCCCAATACCCTCTCCTGTGAGGGCATCGCCATCTGCTGACCCACTCCTGCCTCCGAACTGCTCGGCCACTCCCAGTTTTTCCCTGTTGGAAATAGCGCTGCAGCAGACACTCAGCACGGACCTCTGCTGTGCCCTGTCCTTGGCCCCGCCCCTCTGAGAATGTGCCCTGAGAGGGGCAGAGCTGAGGTCGGTGGCCTCTGGGAAACTCGTCCTCTCTCTCCTCACCCCCAGCCCCACAGCCAGCTTCCTCTGAGCTGCGAGGAGCTCCCCGAGCAGCCCCGGCTCCTGCCCAGAGGCCTCTCCTGCAACGTGAGCTCTCCCATCTTTAGAGCAGGCAGCTCGGTGAGTGCCCCGGGCCGGAGGGCAGCGAGCACTCCTGGGTGATATGGGGTTGGATGGGGGCTCTGTGGTGCCCCCGGGGCTCAGGCCCTTCCTCACCCCCCCTTCCCTCCCGGCCAGGTGGTCATCCAGGTGATGTTTCACACGGTGCTGAACAGCTCCTGGGGGGACTCCGTGGAGCTGCACGCCAACGTGAGCTGGTGAGCGGGCCCGGCCCCCCACCTCACCCCTGCCCTGGACTCACGCACCCCTGCCCTGGACTCACACACCCCTGCCCTGGACTCACGCACCCCTGCCCTGGACTCACGCTGCCTTGCAGCTCAGGCCAAGCCCTTCTCTCAACGCGGCCTTCCCCTGCCCCTGCAGTGCCAACGAGGACCCGGGCCTCCTGGAGGACAACTCAGCCACCACCAGCGTCCCCGTCCTGTACCCCATCAACATCCTCACTGAAAGGTGAGTCTCACCTCCCCACCCAGGGCCCAGACCTTGCCTCCCCAGCTGTCCCTCAAAGCCCCTCCCTGTTCCAGGGGCGTCCCCCACCCCCACCCCGGGGTCATTAGAATTGACGCCAGCTACAACCCAAGAGTCTTCCACACACAAAAGAGCGAAGGCCCTTTTAGAGCCCTGAGTCAGTCAGCGTTTACTGATGGAAGAAAGAGCACACGCTGACCTTCCCAGACTGTGCGGCACCGCTCAGCCCACGCTGTCCTGGGGCGTCCAGCGCCCGGGGAGCGGCTGTGCCCCCCAGTTCACTAACGAGCCAACGGAGGCTCGAGTCCTGCAGCTCGGAAGCACTGACGCGGAATCTGAACTGGAGTCTGAGTCCAAGGCCCCAGCCAAGCTCGTTAGTTTTCAGCTGCTCTGGGCCCCCTTCCTTCCTGCCCAGCGCCGCGGGCAGAGGTGAGAGAAAAGCTCTCCGTGGCTTTGCCCGCTCGGAGCTGAGACTCAGATAACAGAGCCCGAACTCCTGGGCACATGGAAGCAGCGGGGTTCAGGATAGTGTGGAAGGAAGGACCCAGGGGGGCACTCGTTGGATTTTCTCGTTTGCAGGAAAGGAGATGAAGCCAGAGAAGTGGAGGGTGGCTTTTCAAGGTGGCTCGGGGAGACGGGCACAGGGTCCGCGCCAGGGTGTCTGGTGCTTTTAAAGCAAATGCCGAACACAATGCTGTTGTCAGAAGCGCGCTATGAAATTAGAGCCAGGAAGGACGGTGTGGGCTGGAGGAGAGATGGAAGGGGCAGGGAAAGCTGGGGCTTGAGCCGGGGTCTGGAGCGTGGGGACAAGGGCCAGGGAGGAGGGGACATTCTCATCGGGGAGAACAGCCTGGAGCAGGCACGGAGGCAGCCAGCCGCCGGGCAGGTCTGGGAGCGGGCGACTCCGGACACGGCAGGTCTGTGCGGGGCCAGCAGGCAGGCAGACCGGGATCTGGCGTGGGATCTGACCTTGTGGGGGCTGGGAGCCTCTGCTGGATTCCGTGTGGTGAGTGGCAGGATCAGGAGCGCTGTTAGGAAGGTCAAGGGAGAGATGGGGTGGGGAGGCGGCCGGAGGCTGGCACACTTGCGTAGGCGATGAGCAGTGGCACCAGCACAGGGCGACCCCGTGAGGTGGTGTGTGCTGGGGAGAGCGTGGCTCCAAAGGCACCCCCTGGGCTCCAGCCCTGGCCCTTGCCGGCAGGACTTTGGGCAAGAGGCTGACCCCTCCCATCAGCCTTAGTCTCCGAAGGGAAATCGCAGGCAATGTGAGGATTACGCGGTCGCCAGCGAGGTCCCCGCCAGTGCTGGCCGCTCAAAGGCTTCCCCTGGCCCAGCCCCCTGGGTGGCCTCTGGGTCGCCGTCCTCTCCCGCTTCTACCTCTGCTCTTCTCTCTCCACAGCCAGGACAACTCCACACTCTACATAAGCTTCACCCCCAAGGGGGCCAAGGTCCACCATGTCCAGCACACCTACCAGGTATGAACCGCAGTGTGAAAGGTGCCTGAGGGTCACATCCATGCAGCCCCTCCCTGGACCGAGGGTGCAGGGACTGTCAGACGGGGCCTCACCGCGGGGGGTGCGGCCTCTGCTGTTCTCCAGCCCTTTCTGTGCTTCCGGGACAGCGCCCTGGCCGCTGCCCACCCGAGGGCCAGCCGGCTGGGAGCGAGATCCGGCTTTTCATTCAAACGTTTAACGAGGCGCTGCCCTAGGTTAGGTGCTTTGCTAGGCTCTGGGCAGCAGCTGGTGAAACAGGGTCCCTGTCCACTCACCAAACCCAAGCTCTGTGCCTGGTGCTCATGCACACAGCCCGCATAATTCCCACACCCACCGGTGAGAGCCATAACCGGGGGGAGGCGTCGCCATTCCCGTTTCACAGATGCGAGGCCTGTGGCCCAGGCAGGTCAAGAACTGGCCCAGGTTAGCCAGCCGACGAGGGGAAAGGTCAGGTTCAAGGTCTTAGTTGAATACGAAGATCCCTGTGTTTAGCCTCGAAGTTAAGGCCTGTCGTTAACGGCGGTCCTCACTGCGGAACTCGGAAGGAGGCCACCCCTGAGTGCGAGGCGTGAGGAGCCTCAGGCTTTCTTAGTGGGCCCTCAGGAGAGTCTTAGGCACTGACCAGCCAAGAGCATTTTCATTTGACTGCGGGGAAAATTGAGGCCCAAAGAGGGCACGTCTCACCCAGGGCCGCTCTGGAGTCAGGGCAGACCGGAGAGGAGTGCAGCCGTAGGGGACCCGAGCCGTTCCGGCCCCTTCCGAACAGGGCTGGAGCCAGCTCCCGGGACTGTGACGCGGGGGCGCGGCCTTTGGGGGGAGAGGCCCCGGGCGGTGGAATGGAGCGTTTGGCTCAGGCAGCTGAGCTGGCTCCCAGTTCCTGCGGGAGCTGGACCAGGGCACTCGTATGACCAGGCAGGCCTGGGCCCAACCCCAACTCTGCCATTCGCACACCGTGTGGCCTTGGGCAGGGACCTACCTGCCGTGCCTCAGCTCAGTGGGTTGCGTCCTCCCTGTAGAGCGCTTGGGGCAGTGCCTGGGAAGTGGGTTGTTCGAGGGGCGAGGTGGGTGCTGCAGCCCTGAGATGCCCCAGCTACTCTGGAAGCCTCCTTATGTCCTGCCTCCCTGAGCCCAGAACCAGCTCAGACCCCTTGAGCTGCCTCTTCCCCTCAGAAGAGCCTGCAGGGCTGGACACCTCCATCCGCCGCACCGCCTTCCAGCGCTGGGAGCCGAGCCGCTGGTCCAGAGCCTGGCCCTCCACGCAGCCACTCTCGCTAACGACCCTAATGTGATCTCCGTTTGCACTAGACCCGGCCAGTGTGGGACGCTGGCGATCCATTCCCTCTCTTTTGAAACTGTCCCCTTAGCCAGGCCCTTCTTGCCACAAGGAGGCCAGCTCTCACAGTGGAGGTTTATTATGAGCTCGACGGGCGTGAAGCCCAGTGAGACCTGGGCCGCGGGACCGCCTTCCTCGCTGGCAAGGAGCACAGCTTCAGGCCGACCTGAAACCTTTTGAACTCTGCCATTTACAGCTGTGTGGCCTTCGACAGTTCACTTACCCTCTCTGAGCCTCAGTTTTTCCATCTATAAAGCAGGGATATTAACACCTACTTTATGGAGTTGTACTGGGGAGCAAATGAGGAAATACGTTGCAAGTGCTTAGCCTAGTCCTTGCCACATGAGGCATCTGTGAGCTTATCTGTCTTGGTGTTATTGTTGCCACTGTTACCCAAGGACGGAGATGGAGCACAGTGCTCTAGGTTGAAATGCCAGCTCTGGTGCTTGATAGCGGCAGACAAATTAGTGCATCTCTCTGAGCCTCAGTGCTCTCATCTGTGAAATGGGGGTGGGAGCATCGTCCACCACAGAGAGGACGCGTTTAGTGGGAATCAGAAGAGGCCTCGCACGCAGTGCTCAGTAAATGGTGACACTGCCCGCGGGTTCTAACCGTCTGTTTCTGCTTTGTCATCACCGCCGTTCCCTCAGAGCCGGTGCCTGGCTCTGGGCTGGTGCTACCGACTGCTCTGTATCGGTGTCCACAGGGTCCGTGTCCCCGTTTCAACTGACACCCCAGATTGTGTCCCTCCTCCTTCTCCAGCACACCTGTCCCTGCAGCGTGTCGCTCATCTCACTGGGACGTCTTCCTACCATCTTTTTCTTTTTGTTGGTCTTTGAACAGCTTTATTGATATACTAGAGGCCTGGTGCACAAAATTTGTGCACAGGTAGGGTCCCTAGGCCTGGCCAGTGATCAGGGCTGGTTGGGGCCTTCCTTCCCCCAGCTGCCAGCTGCAGGCTGCCAGCCAGGGCCTTCCTTCATTCCACGCTGCCCCCTGTTGGTCAGCGCACATCATAGTGAGCAGTTGAACTCCCGGTCAGTCAAACTCCCGAGGAGACAATTTGCATGTTAGCCTTTTATTATGTAGGATAATTCATATACCACACAATTTACCCGCTTCAAGTATACAAGATGATGGTATTTTTAGTAAAGTACAAAGTTGTGCTACCATCACCATAATCTCATTGTAGGACATTTTCACTTCTCCAAAAAGAAGCCCTGTGCTCATTTGTAGTCACTCCCTCATCCTCCCTGCCCCAGCTCCTGGCCACCATTACTTTTGTCTCTGCATGGATTTACCTATTCGGACATTACACATAACTGAAATCAGACAGCATGTGGTCTTTTGTGACAGGCTTCTTTCGCTTAGCGTAGTGCTTTCAGGGTCCATCCATGATGTGGCATGTATCAATATTTCATTCCTTTTTATTGCCAAATAATATTCCATTTGTAAGACAGGCTACATTTGATTTATGCGTTTATCAGATCATGGACATTTGGGTTGTTTTCATTTTATTATCTTTTCCTATACCAGCATCTTCTCTGGTTTGCTTAGACTCCTTTATTTTTTTTTTAAATATATCTTTATTGATTTCAGAGAGGAAGGGAGAGGGAAAGAGCGACAGAAACATCAATGGTGAGAGAGAATCATTGATTGGCTGCCTCCTGCACGCCCCCTACAGGGGATCAAGCCCGCACCTGGGCATGTGCCCCTGACCATAATCGAACCTGGGACCCTTCAGTCTGCGGGTCGACGCTCTATCCACTGAGCCAAACCAGCCAGGGCTGCTTAGACTCCTTTAATCGCCCCAGTTCTTCCCCTCAAACAAAACTTCCAAGTCGGTGAACTTCTCCTTCCAACACGCCTGGACCACTGCCTCCTCACGTTGTGTTGTCTGTCCCTCTTCTCCCCTCGTCCCCAGTCCTGCTCAGACTGAGCGTCTCGTCTTCTTGCTCCTGGATCACCGGCCCGGGTCCGAGCTTGGGCCTTGACCCGCCTTTCCCACTGCTTTCCACCCGATGCCTGCAGAGCCCCCTGGCACCACCCTCCTCGGGCGCTTCCCGTGACTCCCCGGCCTCCCCGACTGCGTACCCCCAGGCCTTCTGGGCCCCACAGTCTGATCCCAAGTCGCCTTTCCAGACTTGTCTGCTCTCCCTCCCCAAGCACCTCCCCTCCCTCTGGCCGCGCCACACTCACCTTGTGTCGCCCTCACTCTCTCTTTCTGGATACCGGTCCCCATCTTCACCTGTTCATTTCCTGTATCTTTCACAGTTAAATTCAGATGCTGCCTCTGACAGTAGGTCTTTTTAGTTTAATCTAACTGACATTTTAAAAGCATCCGCAGCCTGGCCGGTGTGGCTCAGTGGGTTGAGCGTCAGCTCATGCACCAGAACGTTCCCAGTTTGATTCGCAGTCGGGGCACATGCCTGGGTTTGGGCTCAGTCCACGCAGGGGGCGTGCAGGAGGCAGCTGATCCATGTTCTCTTTCACATCTATGTTTCTCTCGCTCTCCCTCTTCTTTCCTCTCTCTCTAAAAATCACTAAAAAAAATCTTTTAATAAAATAAAAAGTGTCCACAAAGGTTTGCTGAGAGAGTAAATAATAGAATGCCTCAAACTGGATATATATTTCCCTGCCCGGCCTCCCTGAGGCGTTCATGTTTATACATTTCTGGGCCTTCCAGCCCGAGCACAGCCAGCTCTTTTGTACAAAAGGTACTCAGGAAATGTTTCTTACGTTAGGTCAATGCAGTTGCCAAAATGAGTCTTTCCCAACCCGCATTGTGTAAATAATTCTTGCAGCTAGCCTTGTTAAATGTCATTCATGCTTTTACTCATTCAGAAAACGGCTTTTCTGGAGGCCTGTTATGTGCTAGTCTCTGTGCCAAGCAGTAGTGCATCTCAGGTGAAATAAACGACAGCTCCTCTGCCGGGAGCCCTCCGCCCAGTGGAGATACGGATGCGCGAGCAGACACGTGGCCATCCTGCTGGGGAGCAGGATGCTGTGGACACAGGGGTGGGCAGCTGCCCTGTTCTTGAGGCGAACTTTCAGGATGGTATTGAGCAGTGACTTGCAGGATGTGGAGGGTTTGCCACGTGGAGAAGGCAGAGAGGCACATGTGACCCACAGGTGTCATTGAGGACGGGGGCGGGGGGTGCCCACAGCCTAACAAGTGGGCCTCGGCCAGTGAGGGCTGGAGTTGGGTTGGCATTAGGGTGGCCGGCATTCAGGGCTCAGCAGCCATCTGTCCTCTGTACCAGGTGAAGATTCAGCCGTTTGCCCATGACCCCAACGTGCCCGCCCTGGAGGCCTTGATTGGGGTGCCAGTGCCTCAGAGTGAGGGGCCCATCACTCACACGTGGGCTGTGCAGATGGTGAGTGCTGCCCAGCGGAGAGCGTGCCCAGGGCTGTGGGGGCGCGTCAGAGAGGGTGCCGATGCTGGGCGGGGAGTGAGGAGGGAGGAGGCCTGTCCCGCTCGGGGGATGTCAGAATCTGCCCAGGAACGCCCAGGTCTGTCGGGTGGCGAGGACGGCCAGGGTCCTCTCACCTCTGGACTAACTGATCCTCGTTCCTAGGAGCCTCCTGTCCACTGTCACAATGAGAGCCTGGAAAGGCCACCCAACGCGGCTGAGGTATGGACGTGTGAGTGCGAGGGGCGGGCAGCGTGCCGGCGGGAGGACAGGCCCTCAGCCCTGCTCGTCCTTGTTCCCAGCAGCCTTGCTTGCCTGGAGCCCAGTTCCGCTGCCCAGTGGTCTTCCAGCGGGAGATCCTCGTCCGAGTGACCGGGACTGTGGAGCTGGTGGGGGAGATCAAGGTAGCGCTGCTGGCGACCAAAGGAGGCTTTGGGGAGGGGGGGTTCTCACCTGAGGTCTTCCTGCATTTCCTGTGTTATCTTGAACAGTCCCCAATGTTTACACACTTGCAGGTGAAAGAGAACCATGATGTTTGAAATGAGCAGGGCTGTTCTCAAAGGTTCCTCATGGGAAAGCTTGCCTCCCAGCAGTGGGAGTGGCTCACGGGGCTGCAGAGCTCCAGGCCGGCTGTGCTGGGACCCATTCTCCCCCGCTTCCCCCCTTGAGTGGAGGTGGGGCCGGAGCCAGCGGGTCCTTGGGCCGGTGCTGGGCCCTGATGCCTCCCCACCCCTCGCACAGGCCTCCTCCATGACCAGCCTCTGCAGCTCCCTCTCCGTCTCCTTCAACAGCAGCAAGCACTTCCATCTCTACGGCAGCAACGCCTCCCTGGCCCAGGTATCCACCTCCCCACCTTCTCCTCCTGCTCCTCAGAAGCCCCGGGGGCAGAGGGCAGCAGAGAGGCCTGAGAGACCGCAGGGCAGAGCCGGAAGTGGGCAGCCAGGGAGAGGTTTGGGCCGAGCACAGTGAGAGCCCCCAGCCTGGGCCCAGGCTCCCGTGGCAGCCGCCGCGGGCTCTCACCGCCACCGGTAGGCAAGCAGGCCACAAGGTCACCTGTCCGAGATGCGTCGGGTAGAGATGGGTTTGATGGCAGCTCAGCCAAGGGGGCCCCACTCCTCAGGCAGAGCATGACCGGACGCTAGGGCGAGAGAGCAGCAAGTGCAGGGCCAAGGCTGAGAGAGTGGGGGCGGAGGGGGGCAGGTTCGAGAGCCGAAGGCTCAGAGCAGGAGAAGGGAAGCTGCAGCTAAAGAGGCGAGCAGAGCAGAAACGCTTCTGGGAGGCTTTGCAGGAGGAGCTGCGATTCTGGCATTTCCTCCTGGAACTGAGGGGCCGCCTCGGGGACGGTGGTGCGTGTTCGCCAGCTCACGCTGGTGGCCGCAGCGGGAGGGCCTGGGCCAGAGCCTGGTGTGACACAGTCCAGACTGGAGATTCGAAGACCCGGAGACTGAGGCCAGGTTCGCAGGACATCTTGGGGTGGGGCCTTCTCTGCACTCCCTCCTCTCGTCCTCCCGCAGGCCATCCTGAAGGTTGAAGTCGTGTATGAGAAGGACATGCTCTATCTCTACGTGCTCAGCGGCACCGGGGGGCTGCTGCTGCTGCTGCTCATCTTCCTGGCGCTCTACAAGGTCGGAGCTCTGGGAAGCACGGGCGTGGCTGAGTGACAGGCTGGGGATGGGGAACGGCAGGGTCAGGGAGGAGAAGGGCAAGCCCAGGGCTGGGGACCAGGGAGAGGGCCAGAGCCAGGCGCTGGGTGCAGAGGCGCGGGCCGCAAGCACGGCCCCTGCCTCTGTGGGGCTCAGTCTCAGGGGAGACACAGGGACACGTGACGGAGGCTGCTGTGCGGGGCCTGGTGCTCGGGAGCCTCGCGTCGGCCGGGGCTGCGAAGGCCTCCCAGGGAGGCCGCACTGGAGTTGGGCTTACAGGGTGCGGGGAAGTTAGCCAGAGGAAGGGTGCTGGCGGGCAGATGTTGCCTGTAAAATAGGCAAGTAGTCCCGGAAAGAGCATAAAATTAAAGTTTCTTTCTATTGAACCCCAGAGGGTTGTCATGAAAACAACTTTTTTGTTTCTATTCCGTAGGTTGGGGTTTTGTTGTTGACATATGTATGTATGTGTGTGTGTGTGTGTGTGTGTGTGAGAGAGAGAGAGAGAGAGAGAGAGAGAGAGAGAGAGAGATATCAGCATATGTGTGTATCTGTAGAAAATGCATATGGTTTAGACTGTGTAACTGCCTGGGAACTTGAATTATTCCCAGATGTTATACCTCGATGCCCTTCCGTCTGAGCACAATTATATCCACTTCTCGCTTTGTAACCAGTTGTTTCCTGCCCTCTGGGTGCCCCATCGTTTATTTAACACGTTGTCCATTGGTGAACAATTAGGGTGTTTGTAATTTACATCTGTTTCAAGCAGAAAAGGTTCTTGTTGCCCACATCTTCGCACACTGGTCCAAATATTCTTTTTTTTTTTTTTTTAATATTTTATTGATTTTTTACAGAGAGGAAGGGAGAGAGATAGAGAGTTAGAAACATCAATGAGAGAGAAACATCGATCAGCTGCCTCCTGCACATCTCCCACTGGGGATGTGCCCGCAACCCAGGTACATGCCCTTGACCGGAATCGAACCTGGGACCTTTCAGTCCGCAGGCCGACGCTCTATCCACTGAGCCAAACCGGCTTTGGCCAAATATTCTTTAAAATTAATTCCTAGCCCTGGAATTGCTGAGCCAAATAATATATATGTTTTGAGCTTTCAATAGGGACTGCATGACACATACTAAGCACTGGGTAAGCATGGGCTCAAGATATTGTAATATGCCTCCTGAGCCGCCCACCTGAAGTATTGGTACCTGGCGTCCTCCTGAGCCGAAAGAACGGACCAGTAGCCCTAACTGCTTTGGCTCCGTGGGTAGAGCGTCGGCCTGTGGACTGAAGGGTCCTGGGTTCGATTCTGATCAGGGCACATGTCTGGGGTGTGGGCTCGATCCCCAGTAGGGGGCGTGCAGGAGGCAGCCGATCAATGATTCTCATCATTGACGTTTCTAACTCTCTCTCCCTCTCCCTTTCTCTTTGAAATCAATAAATATATATTTATATATATTTTTTAAAAAGAATGAACCAGGAAACGTACAGCTTTTTAGCATTTTGCCAAGAACCAGGTATGGCAGGCGCTCTCGCCCATCCCTGGAGTGGAACCACGTGTCCGTGGTTTATTAACATAGAAAGTGCTTTCATGTTTTGCCAGGACCAGCTGTGCTCCAGGGACTGTCTGCTCACTCAGCTCTGGTCTTCCTGCAGGTCGGCTTCTTCAAACGGAACCTGAAGGAGAGGATGGAGGCCGCCGACGCCGCCAATGGCATCCCTGGAGAAGGCCCTGGGCAGGTGGCGTCGGCGGAAGAGGCCACGGACCCGAGCAGCGTGGATCTCCTCCCCAAGGAGGAGGCCCTGGACGGAGGCGGCACGGACTGAGGCCCAGGCCTGACGCAGGGGGCCCGGGGCTGGACTTGGGGTGCTGGTGCCACTCTGCTCTACCTGCATGTCACTCCGTGTCCTCTAGCCCAGCAGTCGCCAACCTTTCGGACCTCGCGGACCCCCAGTGGTCCGGACCACTGGTTGGCGACCCCGCTGTAGCCAGTCTGCCCCTCCCTAGGCTCCCGGCTTTCAGTCTTGAACATGGAGCTCACTCCCGCTTGCCTCCAAGGGTCGGGCCAGGAAGGCTGCCACGGTGAGGCCTTGTGGGTACCAGCTCGTCCTGGCTTCTAACAGCCCCTCGTAGCATCCTCCCTGGAAGAGAGCGTCTGATCTAAATTTGGAGAAACTAGTCCCGGGATCCAGTGACCCTCCCAGCCCTCACACCCACCTGCCGCGGGGGCCCGCGGAGGCCTCAGGCGCCCAGAGCCTTGCCCCGCTCTCCCCTGCACGGTCCGGCCTCCATTCTGCCGCCAGCGAGCAGATCTGATCTGTGTCACCGCTTCTGCTGCAAACCCTTGCTCTGTAGCTAGAGACCAAGTTCCTTAATGTGCCTTCCAAACCCGCAAAACAGCCTCACTGTGCCCATGCCACAGGCCTTCCTGGCCTCTGGTACAGCCCTCCCACCGCCCCGCGAAGCTCCCGTTACACAGGCGTTTCTCGCTCGCCGCCTTCACCCAGGCTGCTCTCTGCCCGGACGTCCTCCCCCTCTTCCTGGCTGACTCTCCTCAGTCTTCAGATCTCATCGCTCACATCGACCCCCAGGGCAGCCCGCCCCCGACTCACCTGGGCTCCCGTATCACCGCCCTTACACTCGCCTGCAACTGTCCGTCCCAGCAGGGATCCTGTTTGTTCATTGTGAGATGATTTATTTCATCTCCGTGTCTCAAATCCCACAGTGAGCTCCATGGGTAGGGACCGTGCCTTGGCATCCCTGATGATGTCACAGAGCCAGACGCGTAGTCGGTGCTTGACACAGTGTCACTCCATTAATGACGGGGCCGGAGGGGAGATAGAGGAAAGCGTGTGGATGGGCCGTGGCATCCCTTCTGAAGGCTCAGTCTTCCACCGGCGCCTCCTCCACAGTCCCCGCCCGGACTCGCCCACACCCCCACCGGCCTCCCCTGCGAGACTCTGAGCTCAGGGGTGGGCCCTGGCTCCCAGCACCAATAAATGGGAAAGTCTGTCCAATTCTGTGATGTTTCTGTGCCGGGGCCACGTTCCAGCCTGGCTCATTCAATGAGCATTTTCTTCTCACTGAGTGGGACCCAAACAGTAGCTCTCCTCTCTCTCTCTCTCTCTCTCTCTCTCTCTCTCTCTCTCTCTCTCTCTGTCTCTCAGGACCCTGGGCTCACCTGTGGGCTAGTTCAAAAGAGAAGCAGGGAGAGACACCGGAAGTGAGGAGGCTAGGGAAGCACTGACAATTTACTAAAAGGTGAGAGTAGACTAGACTCTCCCTTTTTTAAAAACCCTGAGGCCCCCTCCTTTAGACTGGACAGAGGGGCCAGTCACCACTGCCCTCTTGTGGCCCCTTTTCACTGTCGGGACTATCACAGAGCTACAGCGTCTGTGGGGTGAGCCTGTCAGGTTGTGTTCACTTATGTGACATTTCTTTGAATGCTTTGTGTCATACTCTGTTCTGTGCTCCGAGGACATGGGAAGCTTCACTCCATCGAGAAAACAGTGAAAGGGTAGAAATGTGATTCCAGGTAGTGATAGGGCTGTGAAGAAATAAATCAAAAGACCAAGTTAGAGGGTGACGGAGAGGGTCCTCTAAGATAGGTGGTCAGGAGAGTCTCTCTAAAGAGGTGATATTCTGTGACAGGGGGGCGGGGAAAGTCGATATTTGCAACCAGGTTGGAAGCAAAAAAGCACAGAAGATCTGGGAGGCTTGCCCTGGCCGGTGTGGCTCAGTTGGTTGGGTGGCATCCAGTGCAACAAAAGGTTGCTGGTTCGATTCCCGGTCAGGGCACAGGCCCGGGGTTTCAGCTCAGTTTCCAGTAGGGGGGGTGCAGGAAGCAACCAATCACATCAATGCTTCTCTCTCCCCTCCTCCCTTCCTTCCTTTTTAAAAAGAAAATAGTTTTAAAGTTAATTGTTTTAAAAAGATCTGGAGGCTTAGTTCAGGACCAGACCTGCCATCATCATCCCCAGACATCCCACCTCCCTGACCAGCACCTGTCCTCGCATATCTGTGGCCTTTGCCCATGTGCTCCCCTCACCAGCATGTGCAGTCCCCCCCTTTCCTATCCATGAAAACCCTCCTACTCCAAAGCACTTCAGAGCTTTTCTCAGTCCCACAATTCCTGGACAAAAGCACCCTCCACACCACGTTGTTTCTCCCTCATTGGGGTACATAATGTTGTGGAGGGACATTCGCAGGAATAAGACCACCGACTCCAATTAGGTCTTAAACAGCAAGCGAGGATTTATTAAGCTGGCCAGCGACTACAGTCACAGCACCCTGCCGGAGCAGAGGCTGAACTGCAGCGCCGACTACAGGAATTACATTTTATTATTAAATTCTGTGCAGGCCCAGAGAAAAGGTGTCTTTCAAATTCTGGGCCCCCCCATGTGGAGGAAGCTCTCTTTATTTATACTTTTTCCAGTCCTTTGTCTTCCAAATTTGGAATGAGACTTCCGGGCCTTCTGAGAAAGACGGCCTGCGTGCTGGGAAGGGGCCATGAGACCATATCTCAAGGCCTGGCCTGATGTCAGTACCTTCCGATCTGTGTGTTTTAGGAACAGACAGCACAGCATGACCCGTCTGGCCGAAGTGCCAGATGTGCAGCCCAGCACAATAACACTGACTGTGTGGGCTCCTACCTCGAGAGTAGGTTCTGGAAGGCGGGCCTCAGGCTTCACTCACATATGTTACCAACACTGACTCTCACCAGGGTTGGCACAAAGGAAGTGCCTCAGATGTTTTAGTTTCAGGACCTCTTTATACTCCTAAGAATTACTGAGGACCCCAAAGAGGTTTGGTGTTTTTTTTACATGGATTATATCCAGTTATATCTGGTTAGAAATTAAATGGAGAAAAATGTAAAGCATAACACCCAAGCCTTCAGGCCACACAGCCCATCAGAGTGATGCCATCGGCCATGATGAATCGCGTGGCCCCTAGGAAACACTCTGCTCATGGGAGAGAGACGGCGACAAAGTAAATAACAGCTTAGTGTTGATTCGAAAGGAGTCAAAACCCAGTCAGCCCTGGGTTTGAATCCAGCTCCGCTGTGCGATGTGGGGCAATTTCTTATCCTCTCTGGGACTCATTTCTTCATCTGTAAAATAGAAATAACTGTACAGGGGTGGGCAAAAGTAGGTTTGCAGTTATTTGTATGGAAAATAATAAATAATAAGAATAAACTCTGTGTTTCACATACTCAAAACAGTAAACCTACTTGTGCTCCATCTCAGGGCCGTTATGACCATTAAATAGCACTTATAAACTGTGGATCACTGTTCCTAGCCCATCAGTGCCTGATAACAGTGGGCAGAAATGGTGGTTTAATTTTTTTTTAATGTAATTTTATTGATTTCAAGAGGAAGGGGGAGAGAGAGAAACATCAATGATGAGAGAGAATCATAGATCAGCTGCCTCCTGCACTGGGGATGGAGCCTACAACCCAGGCATGTGCCCTTGGCTGGAATCGAACCTTCAGTCCGCAGGCTGACACTCTATCCACTGAGCCAAGCGGGCTACGGCAGAAATGGTGGTTTAGATGTGTAGGATGATGTGGTAAAAGCAGCGTCCGGGACCACAAGTCAAGACAGCTGGTGTTGGAGTTCTGGCTCTCCCACCGTGATCTTAGGAAGACGCATGCTCTTCCTGGGTCTGGTCTGCCCCACCTGGGATCTGGAGGTATCTTGGGAATTGTCACGAGAGAAAGGGGTGGGGGCTGAGCAGCTGAGCCCCACCCTCATTTGATCAGCTTTTATATACTAACTAGTAGCCTGGTGCACGAAATTGATGCACATTAAAAGGGAATTAATTAGAGGAAATATTTTAATATTGCTATTTGCCCTTTCTCTATAATAGAAGTGTCAGAGATGAAAGAAAATTAGTAAAATGTATATGAAAATCTCCCTCCTGCCCTAACCGGTTTGGCTCAGTGGATAGAGCGTCGGCCTGTGGACTCAAGGGTCCCAGGTTCCATTCCAGTCAAGGGCATGTACCTTGGTTGCGGGCACATCCCCAGTAGGAGGTGTGCAGGAGGCAGCTGATCGATGTTTCTCTCTCATCGATGTTTCTCTCTATCCCTCTCCCTTCCTCTCTGTAAAAAATCAATAAAATATATTTTTAAAAATCTCCCTCCTGTCAGAGTCTGGGGCACACCGTGGGACCCAGAGTCAAGTCCCCACCCACCTGCACATGCTTCGACATTGCAGGAGACCCAGACCCGGACAGCCCCACACCCATTGGGCGAGACCCAGACCCAGCCAGCCCCAATCCCCATCAAGCCCCGCCAGGTGGGGGGCACAGCCTCAGGTCCCCCATCAAGCCCCGCCGGGCAGGGGGCACGGCCTGAGGTCCCCCACCCCGGCCAGGCGCCACGCAGCCTCAGGTCCCTACTGATAGGTCGTTACGCATCACGGCGTGATAACCATTTGCATATTAGCCTTTTATTATGATGTTCTGTGCGTGCACGCTACTTTATCAATTAAGCACCACAGGCACCGTGCCCAGGGCCTCCCAGCTTAAAAGGGCATGAGCATGTTTGGAAGCTGAAAAAAGAATCAACTCCAAAATATAAAAATTAAATTGTATAATTGAAATAAATGCTGAAGTAATGTCTCCAAATGTTACTACATTTCAGGTGGTCAAATGCAGTTCTATGTATATACTTACATACTAGTATATGAACTATATTAAGTATAGGAGTCAGAGTATTTTAATATTTGAACTTTTGTATGGTAGGGTGTCTGTACAAAAATGTGCATAATGTTTATAAAGATCTTTAAAAGACTGAGACTTTAAGGGATCTACTTCCAAAAATAATGAAAACTTTGGAAACCACTAAACACAACCAAACTCTACTGAACCACATGCTCTCTAGGCCCTTCCAGGGCTTGCAGGCCTGAGAGGCTGGACTGAAAAGTGCTGAGGAGTGGTTTCCTCTTGGCAAGTTACACGGCCCTGAGGCTGGGCACGGGTGGGGATGAGGGCAGGATCCTGAGCCCTAGAGACCTTAGAGCAACACTCCCCACCTGCCTTGAGGCCAAGCTGGGGACAGGTGGAGCCGGGCGGACCTGGTCAGAATGTCTTATCTGCCTCTTAAGTCACAGAGTGACTGAACAGGCCACTTAGCTGAGCTCCATTTTCCTAATCTGTGAATAGAATAAATAAACCTTTCACAGGGCACTGTGAGGCCCTTAGCAGGAATTCATCTCAAGCTGTGTCTAGCAGCCAGGTGATTCCCCAAGGCAGGGCCTGTCCCCAGCTGAGGTATCACAGGCCACGGCCCAGAACCGCCCCCCCCTACTCCCCCCCCCCCCCCCCCCGCAATCCCCAATCACTGATGGCACCAACCTCCCATCCTTTCCTAAGGAGCCAAGTGTTAGGAGGGCTGAGGCTCAGCTGGAAAGTAGGATAAAGGTGGGGTGGTAACAGGGTGACCCCACTGAAAGGTACAGGGGTCCTAAAAAGGAGGCAGAGCTGTGGCAAATCAGGCCAGCCTGGTGGGAGGGTCTTAAAGGCTGACATCCAACCCTCCTACTGGGTCCAATACCAAAACCCCTATGGACGGGGTTGAAACTTGAAGTTCTGTTCAGAGTCAGGATCTGCACAGAGTGGTGGCTGGAGATTGCAGCTGGGAGTGGGGGTGTGGGGGTGTGGGTGGGAGAGCGGCACAGCCGGGGGGAATGGTACACAGGCTCCAGACTGATATGAGAACCAGGGTGTTTTCTGGCCCAAGGGCAGACCCTCCCTGTTTGGGAAGCGGACGGCCACAAAGGTGAAAGGCTTCCTCAGACCCACAATGGCCGGTGTCTGTGCAGCATTCAAAGCATCAGTGAGGCCTTGGGCAGAATGGGCAAGTCACTCCTCCTGAGCCCAAGACCAATGAAATCCTGACCATAACAGCTCTTCCCAGACACGGCCCTATGGCTTCGCTGGCTCTTCCAGTCATGACCTAGTGCTCCCACTGCCCAGGGCACTGTCCGTGCACACATTTTAACGACAAATCTCTTTAACCACGTAGAGGTT